AAAAGTAAAGATTTTATTTCTATAATTAAACTGCTATAGATTCTGGAGTGGAGTTGGTCCTGGCCCAGAGCTTGAAGACTGCTTCTAGAATCCGAGAAGATGACGGAATTTTTCAAATTGTGAGCTTTGATAAATTTTATGGACTCCAGAATAGCAGCACATTCACCAGTAAACACAGAAGCCTCAGAGGGATATTTGGCTAACAAAGCAATCCTTGAGTTCTGATAATATGCTGCTACTCCTGTGCATCCTTCAGGAGTCAGTTTAGAAGCATCAGTGTAGAAAAGATTCCAGCCACTCCAGAAATTGCTCAGAGCGCGTTTAAATTTCTTATTAGCGTTCACTGATGCTTTTGCAATGCCTAGTTCTAGGACAACGCTTGGCCTGAAGTGGATAACATCATATGTGGAAGAAAAGACCGGGAGTACAGGGTATTGACTGATGGGTGCAGAGAGGTTTTTAAGTTCTCTGTACCTAACAATCACAGGAGGGATAGGTTTATTGTTCCAGTACGGAGAGGAATTATAGGAGCAGTGTATCTGGTCCAGGATCGGGAGTAGGGGATGCGATGAAAGGGAAAGGACTTTCGAAACGAAACGGTCTGCTAGGTATTGTCTCCGAAGGTCGAGGGGAGGCTCTGCACATTCGACCTGTAGAGCATTTATAGGGGACGACTTCATAGCTCCAATAATTATTCTAAGGCATTTGGCCTGAATGGAATCAAGTTTTTTAAATGCTTCCTTATTGCAAGGTGCCATAAGGAAGCAGCAATAATCCATTACGCTTCTGACCAATGCATTATATATGAGCTTTAATGTATAGGGGTTGGCACCCCACCATACTCCAGCCAGTGCTCTGAGTACAGCTATTGACCGTTCACACCTTGTGACAACGGCGTCTACGTGATCCAACCCCGACATCCTACAGTCGAGAATCACACCTAGAAATCTAGCCTTGTTGCTGATCGGAATTGCCTGACCGTCTATTTCTATGCGGATATCTGGATACCGTCGTCTACGCGTAAAAATTACAGCCGAGCTTTTTGGGGCGCTTAAACATAACCCATGATTAAGTAGCCACTGGTTTAATGAGGACAAAGAGACATTCATGGAGCGGGCGGCGTCCGTTATAGAGCTGTTGGTGATCATTAGTGCGATATCGTCAGCGTATTGTAGGATATTGCAATCATAATTTAAACAGGAAGGAAGGTCATGAGTGTAAATATTGAAGAGGATAGGACTAAGGACTGACCCCTGGGGTAATCCCCTCCAGGCAGTTCTCTGTACTGGACTATCCTCAGGAGTCCTTAATTGGAGGGTACGGTTGGACAGGATATGGCTTATAATCTGGCAAATCCTACTCGGAATTCTCAGCTTTTGCAATTTTTGCCTGAGAAGGGGTAGGAGAACCGAGTCATAAGCAGCTGAGACATCCAAGAAGACCGCAACCAACGACTCACCCCTGCTAAGGGCCAGTCGGATGGCCGATGTGAGGATGCCCACACTATCGGCCGTACCCAAGCCCTTTCTAAAGCCAAATTGAGTCGTCGGCAGCAGTCCCTGGCTTTCCACTAACCATTCTAATCGATTCTTTATGAGGTGTTCTAGGATTTTAATAAGGATGGACGATAGCGCAATAGGTCGGTAGGACGAATGATCACCAGGATCTTTACCAGCTTTTAACAGCGGCATAACAACCTGAACCTTCCAGGATGGAGGAATATAGCCGAAAATAAAACAAAAATTGACCAAGTCAAGGTAGTATTGTTTAGTTTTGACTCCTGCTTTTGCGAGGAAGGAGTAAGGAAACCCGTCAATACCTGGTGCAGAATCTTTCACGTGATTCAGCACCGTTTGCAGCTCTTCCACTGTGAACTTCATGTCGAGGGGGTCATGTGAGTCTTCACACAGTCCCCAACAACATTCATCTTCACAGGGAACATAAATAGGAGCAATGTTGGTAAAGAACTTATGGCTAAGGCCATCAGGTAGGATGTAGACTGAAGGAGGTTTAGAGGAGTTCCTAAAGCTCCTCACCCTCTGCCAAACCGTTGCCACCGGAGTGGATGGGCTCAAAGAACTACAGAAACTCCGCCATCCCTGTTTCTTCTTCCTTTTAAACAGCTTCCTTGACTTAGCCAATATCTGCTTGAAGGTTAGGAGATTCTCCAGGTTCATATTATGGTTATATGTCTTTTCAGCCTCATTCCTAGATCTTATCATAGCAGTGCATTCACTATCCCACCAAGGAGGGGAGGGGATTTTTCCTTTTGGAGTGGTTTTCACCGGAAAGCAGTCCTTAGCTGTAGAAGCTATTACGTCAGAAAATTGGGAGAAACACTCCAAAGCGTTTTCAGCGTTAACGGAAGGTAATGCAGAAATGCGCAGATCTAATAGTTTGGAATATTGATCCCAATCAGCTGAGTTTAGCCGATATTTTAATAAGGGAGGGAGAGATTTATCAGGGATGGATTTGGACGGGTTCTTAATAATAATGGGATAGTGATCACTACCATAGGTCATATCCAAACAACTCCAATTCAGCACACTAGCCACACCAGATGAGCAGAAAGTCAAGTCCACACAACTGTTTCTTTGACCAAATGCAGATCTACGGGTGGGGCTGCCATCATTAATGACGCATAAGTCGAGGTCATCCAGCATGTCTACTAGGTCATGACCTATGCTGTCGCATATTTCAGACCCCCATCGAAAGTGATGGCAGTTAAAGTCGCCCATTACAAGTAATGGACCACTTACTGAACTTAATAAGTTTTTAATGGAAATGATATGACTACTCTGGGGGTGGGCAATATAAAAAATAAAAATGTTTATGTCCTCAGCCTTAACAGCGACAACATTTATGTCATCGCCAACGAAGGGTAGAGGGATCTGGGAGAAGGGTACTTTGTTACTAACTAACAAAGCACAACCTCCATAACCATCAGATCTGTCCTGTCTGACAACACTGAAACCTGGTATTCTGAAATTGATATTCGGTAGGAGCCAAGTCTCAGCAATGCCACAAATTTGTGGGTGATACTTATTAATTAGGTGGAGTAAGTCACTCTTCCTGGGAAGAGTACTCCTCACGTTCCACTGAAGGAGAGTGAGCGGAAGGAATTTTATAGATGTATTCTAAAATTGTAGCTAATCTTTGTGCAACGTGGTCAGGTACAACTTGGGCAGGGTTGGATAACACCGCCATCAGCATATTTGAGATAATATTTAAAATGTTTTTGGAGCTATGCTTGTTGGTTCCGGATTCCACAGGGAAAGCGCAACCATTTTGAGATGGGGAAAAGGAATAATCATGGATAAGGGCCTGGTGGGCCTTCTTATCATAACTGGGGGAAAGTGGAGCATGGGACTTGGGTTTAAGTAAAACTGTTTTTTTATAAGATACTCTCTGTTGGGATGGTTTTTTGGTTGGAGTGGATTCTATGTAATTAGTTGACCTCGACACCTCAGCATATGACCTTTTGACGGTGGGGAAGACTTGGCTTGCTTCCGCATAGGATATAGATTTTTCCGCCATTAAAGCTTTTATGCTTTTTTGGCGGCCCAACTCTGGACAGGCATTGTCGTTAGCAAAGTGACTGCCATTGCAGTTAATGCAATGTGCAAACTCCAATGAGATTTGACATCCATCGCCAGGGTGATCCTGACCACACTTAAAGCAACGTGGTTTTGAACGACACAAAGTGCGGGTGTGACCAAATCGACAACAGTTGTAACATTGTATAGTCGGGTACGAATATAATTCTACTGGTAGGGCGGAGTAGAAACAAAAAACTTTCTTAGGTAAAATTTGGCCATCAAACGTCAGGACTACAGTCTGGGTAGGTTTCCATTCTGTTCCATTCAGTGAAGACACTTTTCTATTCATCCTCCTTGCCTTTATAACAACACCACATCCCGCAGGGACCCTGATGTTGCTAATTATCTCTTCCTCTGACCACTCAATGGGAACATCCCTTACTATACCCATTCTGGTGATATTGAACTGAGGGATTGAGGTTGTATAACTTTGTGCAACCACACAGTTCACAAGAAAACTGTTGGCATCCTGGTGGGACTCAAACTCAACCGAGATTCTGTTCCTGCCTATTCTTTTTACACCACCGATTTTGACGTTGTTAATGTTGTTCCGCATTAAAAACATCCCAAATTTTACCGGGTGAAGAGTAGTGCCAGTCGTCTGGGAGTCCTTAAGCGAAACATACACTATGTAGGGAGGGTTGTCCCTAGCGGTGTAGCATTGTCTACCGTTGATGCTTTTCGCTAGTTTCGGCGGGTTATTACGGGAGACAGGGGGGGAGCCTGCGGGTCTTTTTCTGTTTGATGCAGGATCAGAGTCCAATATTTCGAGGTCCGGGTTGTCATGGGGAAGAGTGACGGTTAGAATTGGCTTAATATCGGGGGATTTATCAGGAGGGTCGGGGGGTTTCTCCGCGTCCATCTTGGACAACGGAGACAAGTAAAAGAGAGAAACGATTAGTTAAAAATGTAAAAAATACCAATACCTTATTAAAAACGGCACACAAACACACAATAAAAACAACACAAAATGTTTCAATTTAGATCACTATGAATAAGATCACTAAAATTGACAACAATCGCAGTACCGATAAAAGCACGTGTGTACCCTTCACCACTACCGACGAAAGTCAATGTGCAAAGTTACCATGCACTTTCGTCGTCATTTGACTCTTTTTTGGTTTTTGCAACTGTCAAGTGTCAAAAACAGAGAGAAATGAAAACAGAAACTCCGACATTTTTGACATAGACGAATAGGGATGTCCTACCTATTCCTGTTAACAAATCTAAAAATTGATAGTTTTTAATAATCATTTTGTTTACTAACTTGAACTCATATGAAGTTTAACGTGAGTTCTAAGTATTCAGTACGCAGCTTCTTAAATTTTTCATAAATGCGAATTCAAACAACTAGATTTTAAATCACTATTTCTAAAATATATGATCAAATTCATAAATGTTACTCGACTAATGAATTTTTGTTCGATTAGTAAGAATGTCGTATACGTTCCATTCCAAGCATCACTCCGCGTCAATGATCTAAAAAGCAGTCACACATCATCAATTTGTTCCAGTTTCCATAAATGGAACGTCACTTGTTGTCTGTCACGAATTAATTGATAAATTTATTATTTTTTGAAGAAATTATAGTGTTCATAGGAAAAATAATTAACAAACAGGTAAATGACAATCCATTTATAATGTTAAAAAGCTCAGTTTATCACAGATTGTGTTAAATAAAGTAATATTTACATTTTTCTTGACGTCAATATCGATCCGCACTAAAATAAGTGGGCCAAATATTTTTGCCAGTTTTTGTAATCACAACTTTATTTGAGTGTCTGATAACGCTTGTTTTTAAGCCAATAGAGTGTCTACGATAACATAGGACGCCGATAGTTACTCTCAAATAGTTGACAATGGAGTAAACTGAAAAATAGAACGCCCCTTTTTTGTGTCATAAATTCAACCTACTAAACAGGTAAACAAACATGAAAATGTAAAATTTATTATTAATTATACGGAAATTATTGCGGTATTACATTACGAAGTGGTTATAGAGCTATATCTGCTACAAACATTGTGAAAATATGTAAATCTATATATTTTGTTTGGTAAAACAAAACAAAGCTCTTTTACTTACAATTAAATTGAAAAAAAAGTAAAATTCCTTTAAGTCGTATATATACTCACGATATTTACTCCAGATAATAATCTTGCATCTCTGTTGACTAGTAATTAGAAAATATTTCACTAATATTCCAAAAATTAAAATTGGCCAGCTTAATTGCTGATTGCTTGACCATTGACATAGTCCATTCGCATAGTCTCTCTCCTCTTTTGCCCATATAAAAATGCTTATTAGCCCATATTAAAAAACAAATGAAACACAAACAAACAAATACATCTTTGCACTAATAATAATAGTTGTTTTTCTTCCTACACATAAAATTTAATTAGCAGAGCCTGAGTCATGCATGCAGACAGATATTATAATTTAAATGACTTTGTGTTTTAATTGTATTAACCGTCAGGTGTTTGTGAGTCATTCATAAAGTAGTTTATGGCTTCATTGTGATTCATACTACTTATAAAGTAATATAATTTAATTGTGTGGATAGTTTTTTTCTGACAGTAGAAAATCACTTAAAACAACAGCATCTAAATCTGTTGAGTAGTTTTAAAGATTTAAGCATACATAGGAATAGGGAGGGACAGAGAAAGCGACTTTTTTTAATACTATGTAGTGATATGTAGTTATTTTAAGCATTTAAAAATATTAATTCTGCTTACCTACATTATACACACACTGTTGATCGACTCTATGACTTGGCTTATTTTTTTTTTTTGGTCAAAAATTTCTTTTTTTTGTGAAGTTTCTAGCTAACTAGGTACATAATATATCCTGCTTGGCAAGATCGCAGCACCATTTCAATCCGTCCTCCCCTCACAAAGTTGTCTCAAAATTACAGAATCATGGCCAGTGAAAGCAGTTCAGCAGTGCTGGAGCTAAACGATGCAGATGCCGAAGATACAGAAGCTACCACGGTTACAGATGATACGCATGAAGGGGTACCATTGATCATGGAGCATGGATATGACATTGCTGTTAAGGTAAGACCAGATTCTAAGTTCTTCTTCCCATCCAAATCCCCTTATCGCCACAAGGACGGAAGCAGTTGCAACTACTAACTGTTAAGTGTGGGAGAGCCACGCTTCGGCACGAATGGGTCGGCTCAACCGGAGTGATACCACGGCCTCACAGAAAACCGGCGTGAAACAACCACAGCGTTGTGTTTCGCCGTGTGAGTGAGGTTACCGGAGGCCCAATCCTTACCCAGCCCCAATCCCTCCTCAATCCCTACATCACCAAATCCCTAATCCCTATATAAAAGGTCGGCAACGCACTCGTAACTCCTCCGTTGCGGGTGTCCATGGGCGGCGCTGATTGCTTACCATCAGGTACTCCGTATGCTCGTTTGCCGATCTATTACATAATAAAAAAAACTGCAAATCGTCCAATCGGCGCGGCGCCGACCATATACGCCCTATATGGTCGACGCCGATCGCTTACCATCAGGGAACCTGTCTTAACATTTGGCGCCGTATAAAATTAAAAATAAACTTATATTTTGGAATACTTTGAGTATTTTTTGATCATAACGTCCTGTTCTTTTAGCTGTTGCAAATACCATGGCCTGCCACTGTATCACCCTAAGGTAGACTATACTAATCCACCATTTTGCAAAATAAAATATTTGGTTGACGATGTTTGTACCTATTTAAGTTAATAGGTTAGGGTTTGGTGGGACGCATTTTCCTACCTGATGGTAAGCAATCAGCCCCGCTCATGGAAACCCGCAACAACATAGACTATGAGTGCATTGCCGACCTTTTTCGGAGGGATTGGAGGAAGAGAAAGGATTGGGTCTCTGATAACCTTTCTCATACGGTAAAACACAACGCTGTGGTTGTTTCACGCCGATTTTCTGTAGGGCCGTGGTATAAATAATTTTCGTACATTTAGGATCTAGAAAAAGCTCCTGTTTGCCTTATTTTGCTGTGCCGTACAGGGTCCATAATTGATCTCACACAAATTGTTACCACCTTTATATGTACTTATGGAAAAGCAATAAAGATATTGAGTAGGTATTAAGTGTATGTTAATTATTTATTATGTTTTCGGCTTACTCACGTAATAATTTGACGAGATACTCGACTACTTTCAAGCCATGCTAGAGGCCATATGTAGCAGCGCGACAGTCGCCGAGTCGCGTGTCGCGGAATGCTGCTCATGAATATGGGCCTCTAGCATGGCTTGAAACTAGTCGAGTATCTCGTCAAATTATTACGTGAGTAAGCCGAAAACATAATAAATAATTTAGAATGTCTCACGAAATTTATAATAAAAATGTATGTTAATTGTTATTTTTCTATTAACTTTCAGGTGGACGCTCCAATGAAACAGTTGTCGACATTAGAAACTTATGTGACATATAGAGTGCGCTGTGTGTGCGGTCGGTGGGCCACACCGCCCTACGTCAGGCGGCGGTACAACCATTTTAAGGTAATCACAATAATATTTTTGTTTATTTTATACTAGCTACTCCGACGCGGTTTCACCCGCTGCTCGGCTCCATTTGATCGTAGTATATAGCTATAGCACTCAGGAAAATTGTAGCTATCTATCAGTGAAAGAATTTTGGAAATCCGATCAGTGGTTCCAAAGATTACCCCATACATACAAACTTACAAATTTTACCTCTTTATAATATTGGTATAGATTTCATAGGTCGTCAAACGAGCAGACGGAGATTACCTGGTGGTAAGCAATCACCGCCGCCCGTGGACACTTGCAACACCAAAAGATTTACGAGTGCGTTGCCGACCTTTTAAGGATAAGGGTTTGGATATTTAAGTATTGGGAAGGGATGGGGGAGAGCAGTGATTGGGCCTCCAGTAACCGCACTCACACGGCGAAACACAACGCTGTGGTTGTTTTACACCGTTTTCTATGAGGCCGTGGTATCACTCCGGTCGAGCCGACCCATTCGTGCCGAAGCATGGCTCTCCCACATTATGTACAGTCAGGGATCAAAAATGCAATTACACTCTACCAATTTTGAAATGACCAAAATATCTTTGTAGAATAGAGTCAATGGTTGAGGACTGCTTTAATTAATAGCATAGAATCTAAATTATTGAATAAACTGGCTGTGAACCATTAAACTTTTACTACAAAGAAATTTTAGTCATTTTAAAATTGGTAGAGTGTAATTGCATTTTTGACCCCTGACTGAGCATAACGTCCAATGAGTCAATTATCCTGATGATGATGATGATGATGACGATGATTATGCTGATGATGATGATGATGATGAAGATGATTATGTTTATGATGATGATGATGACGATGATTATGTTGATGATGATGATGATGATGATGAGACACGATCTTATTACCTCCGTAAAGGTACTCCACCGGCGCCTGAGCGCGGCGCACCCCCTGCTGGCCCCGCCGCCGCTGCCCCCGCTACACTCCGCGCGACAACAGCTCGACAGATACTCTCCGTCCTTCGTCGCTTTACGAACGTGCGCGCTTAACGTTTTCCTTGGTAAGTTTGTGGTGGTAAAACAGGCTCGTCAATATTTTGAATTCTTTTTGTTAGGCGGAAATTATTAGATGACTTCTCGTGTCCAGGGTAAGACGAGAGGGAGTTTCAGACCCTTACTGACTAAAAACCGAAAAACGCCCCCGTGCTTGTCCTTCAACCAAGGTGAACATAGGCCTTATTAAGCCTCACCTGTGCTGGATTATAGGCGAGTGCGGAACGCTACGTTCCGTATTTTCGGGTCTGGTTCTGGACATTCCTTAGACGCCGTTGGCAGACCTTCGCTCGCCCTTTTCTATTGGCTTTTTGTACTTGGAATGAGAATAGCTTCACTAGAGGACTGACTGACACTGACGCTTTTATTTTTAAATCTTTGATTGACGTTAAAAGTGGTAATTATATTATTATTAAAATAAATGACTTTACGAAACCAATTACTGTACCTTACATCACAACGCGTAGGAAAAAAAATTGAAATAGCCATCCATATATTTGTGATCCTCAAAGGCATTTAATAGCGTTACATCAATTTGGAACTAGAATTATTTACTTAAAAGACGTTTTAAATATTGTTATTCATGTTATAAAACAAAATTTTAAAGATTAATACTTTCAAATCCGACATTTATTTAAATTATATATAAAAACTACAATAAACATGAGAGTACCCCAAGGTGCGATATTAGCCCCAACCTACTTATCGGTACAATTATGTAAAATTCTGTTATTTTAACATTAATATTTGTCGTTGTTTTTGCAGATCGAGTAGCAAAGCACCCTATTCTGACACATAGTGAAGACTTCCGAATATTCTTGACCACACCTGATGATGAATTGGAAAAGGTAAGACAATTTAATAAGGGGAAGAACCCTTGTTGCAATAAAAGGCAAACCTATTCCTATCACGAAAAACCTCGTGTTTCACGCTAGGCTATTGTAAGGCCGTGGTACCGTTCTGGTCGATCTGACCCAGCAGTGTTGAAGCATGGCTCTCACACACGGAACCTTCTTGTGTGTATAGATCAAGTGTGTGAAAGCCGTGCTTCGGCACGAATGGGTCGGCTCGACCGGAGTGATACCACGGCCTCACAGAAAACCGGCGTAAAACAACCACAGCGTTGTATTTCGCCGTGTAAGTGACGTTAACGGTTCTCTAATCCCTCTTGCCCCAATCCCTAAATCTCCAAATCCCTAAATCTCCAAATTCCTAAAACCCCAAATTGTCGACAATGCACTCGTAACTCTTCTGTTGTTGCGGATGTCCATGAACCCATGACGTACACAATCTAATAAAAAAATAGATTTTTTTTAATGGTAACACGGAAACTAAAATTGTTACCGTTATAATGCTAAAATGGCAGATTTTATATCCTCCATGGTTCTAACGGTCCATAGGAACATTTTACTAGTTTCCGCCCGCGCCTTCGCCCACGTGGTATGTTGATCCTATGCCTGTGCCAAATTTCATCCAGATCCGTCCAACCGTTTTGGCATGATTGAGTAACAAACATCCAAACATCATAACTTTCGCGTTTATATAGTAAGATTAGTAAGAAGTTAGAAAAAAGCTGAGTAGACCGGCAAACGAACAGACGGATTACCTGATGGTAAGCAATCACCGTCGCCCATGGACACCCGTAAAAGAGGACTTACGAGTGGGGATTAGGGAATTTGGAGATTTTGGGATTGGGGGAGGGGAAGGATTGGACATCCGGCAACCTCACTCACACGGTGAAACACTACGCTGTGGTTGTTTCACGCCGGTTTTCTGTGAGACCGTGGTATCACTCCGGTCGAGCCGACCCATTTGTGCCGAAGCATGGCTCTCCCACACTTGGCTCATGATAATATTTTGATTGTTTAAGGTATTTAAGAGTGAAAACAGCGCACTCAATTTATGGGGGTTCAGCAGTGCTCTCTACGGGTCCGGAGAAACGAAAACTACAAATGGTCCGAGGTAAGAGTTTTTTTTAATTTGTAACTGTTTTGTAGTATATGGCTGCAGATGGAACACCTGATGGTAAGCAACCGGCGCTGACCATGGTAACAGGGGACCTTCAAGTGCGTGGCTGTTATTTTGCGGGTTATGAGAATGAGGTTATTTGAAGATTGGAGGAGATGGAGGTAGCTTCGGCACGAATGGCCAGTGATACAGAAAAACATAGTATTTTTTTTAAAGAAAGAAGCGCAACACGGAAAGCTAAATAGAAGAATATAACTATACTCATAATCTAAACTAAATGATACAAGTAATAGGTACTTAAAATAAATTAATAACGAAAAAAAGAAAGAATGCTGTTTCGCTGTGTGTGTTAGGTGACTAGAGGCCCGGTCATTCCCCTCCCCCCCATTCCCTTCTCAATCTCCAAATCTCCGAAACCATAAACCTCATTAGACCAGTTACGCACTCGTAACTTCTATGGTGTTGTGGGTGTCCATGGCCGTCTCCCGATTACAAACTTTATAAAAATAGTTCTTAATTTCTTTTATAGGGTAAAAGATCCAGAATTCACGTCGGCTGCGGATTATTTACAGTCCCTCCAACAGAAGCTGACCACCCTCTGTACCCTCACGACCAAGCTGCATAAGAGTTCCGTCGCCCTCAGCACTGAGTACACTGCGTGAGTATCATAACAGTTAGTAATTATAGGCTAAAATATTGGCAACCTTTTCAAAACAATATCGAGTCCCATATCTGTCCAAAATTTGTTTAAAATATAGCTTACTTGGGGTACATTAACCCCAGCATAGTTTAACTAAACACAAATTAACATGTTCAAATTCAGTAAGTATTGTTCACGAAAACAACAATAACGTCGTCAGATACGAACAAAAAAATCGACGCCATTTACACAGATTTTAGTAAAGCGTTCAATCGCATTTCTCATTCCTTGCTTACGAAAAGTATCTGTATATGACTTCTGAGGTTGCATACACAGATTGGTTAAAATTGTACGTAACTGAACATTCTTTTTTCATACTTTTTAAACGGTTTTACATAGGAATTGCCTTTAAAATAAACTTTAGGGTTCCACAAGGTTTGCATTTGGGTCCCATTCTTTTCAATAAGTTTATCAAAGATATCACTAGTTTTATTTATTCTACACCATATTTTGCGAACGATCTGTAGTGAAGAGTGATTAAGTCAGTGAAAGGTGTTGTTTTTACTGTAATGAATAATCGAAAAAATTTAACATAGCTACAATCAGTGTTGCGTATAACTTCTTTACAAACGAGGTAGTGGAGGTCGTTATAAGCTAGTCCACATAGTCAAATCATCAAGATGTCTACAGCTAAACATAGGTTTCCAATGACTTCATCATCATCAGCATCATCAGCCGGAAGACGTCCCCCGCTGAACAGAGATCTTCCCCTTAATCTTCCACGTCGAACGACAACTCGCTACCTGCATCCATTGGCTCCCCGCGACTCTGACGATGTCGTCGATCCACCTAGCGAGAGGCCTGCCTACGCTACGTTTTCCGGTCCTTAGTCGCCACTCGAGTACTTTTCGGGACGTCCGTCTAAAATAGCTAAAATTCCTTGTTTAATAATAAATAGTGGGAGTGGTTGGATGTGAACAGCTGAACATCGAGTTCAGCTGCAATTGGGGAGGCCAATGTCCGGAATCAGGTTGATGATGATGATGATGAAAAATAATAATAATAACTAAAAATGTTTGTTCGTCAGTATGAAACGCGCCTGTGACGCTTGGACCTCACAAAGCTCGGGGCTCACAGCGCGCGGGACGGCGGGCTGCGCGGCCGGGGCGGGGCGCGCCGGGAACGCGGGGGCGGGGGCGCGCCCCCCTCTACAGTCGCGGGCAATATTACCCTTACTGGCTGCATACGCGGCCGCACATGTACAGAAAATAACTCAAAGGGATCAAATACATGGTAAGTTTGGAATCTACCGATTCTATTTTAGGACATATCCCGGCAAATGAACTTTCGCATTACGTGATTTTTTTATGTGATAGGTCGTCGGCAAACGTTCAGAAGAATTACCTGATGGTAAGCAATCAGGGGTAATCTTTGTAACCGCTGGTCGGATTGCCAAAATTCTTTCTCTGCTAGATAGCTACAATGTTCCTGAGTGCTATAGGCTATAAATCATCACTCTACGATCAAATCGAGCCGAGCAGCGGGTGAAACCGTGTGCAAGTACATTCTGTAGTGGTCTTTTGGGGAAAGAACCACACCAGTTTAAGTGTTGGTTTGATTTTTATCCTGTACAAATACTATAGTGGTATGGTATCTTTGTAAGTTAATTCGCTAAGGTTTTCTACTCCGTTGCATTGTTTTTATTGGTATATTAAAATTTCAGCTGCATACGTTGCAGGGACCAATACTACAGATGATCTACATAACAGGTAATGATTACATGATAATTCTATTATACTGTGATTTTCTTATTGGTCTTTGAATTTGTAAAATCAACCAAACAACATATTATAAAAGCAAAAATAATAATAAGTCCTACAATAATTTGAAAAAGTACTGTCCCACTGATTGAAAAATAAACAAAGTTATTGATAGTAAAATTTCTCTCAAATAAAAATTTGAGATATAAGACTCACAATAAAAACCGATTTCCTCCAACAGGTTAGAACAAGCGTCGGAAGCTCTCCGCTCAGAACTGTCAGACTGGATACCAAAAACTAGGTCGGAAATCAAAGCCCTACTCCTAGATTTAGCTGATAGGCAAGTTAATCAATACACCCAAGCTGTCCACGGGTGGGAACAGGGTCTCAAGCTAGCAACAGAAACGAATATAGATGAAATTTTCAAAACCGTCTCAAAAACAGCTGTCCAAAATCTATCCCCATCTAGATGTCTATCTGAAATGACTCCGACGGAAACTGAGCGTGATCTCGATGACTACAGCGAAGAGTTTGATCCGAACAGTCATGATGATTTTGAAAATCATGTCTTGGAAGACGGAAGTCAAAATGATGAGAAAATTAATGAAGAAAACCATGTCGATGGTAAGCTTCATGTTGAAAATGCCGCTAAAAGTAATGATGATGTTGTAAATGACATTTTAGATGATAGTAAAGAAGCTGAAGTTTGTAAGGCTTTGGATTCAAGAACTGATGGTATCACGGATCCTTTGAGAGATTTCATAGATGTTGATCTATCATGATTTTACGATTCCATTTTTTATGGTCTACTTAAAGATTTTTAGTGAAGGGACTGGAAGAGATGTACGTAGGTAGGAAGAAATTATAGGGGTACCCCAAGGTTTTGTTCTTGGACCAACTTGATTTTTCAAATGTTTTGGTGCATTTTTTGTGATGTGTTGAGGTTGATTGTATTTAAGTGAATGTTGAATGAGAAATTTGTGTTTGCAATAATCATGGTGTTATCTAGTTCGGACATATTAACCAAAATATGTATTTTTTTGTCATAATGATTAAATGAGTGGACTTTGGGATTAGGACATCCCACTCTTTCATACAACAGTGCCTAAATTCACCAGTCCCTATTTTCTAAAAATGTCTGTAACTAATTAAAGTATTACCAAGTTTTTTTTAAATTTACCAAATTGTATGAAGGAGTCAGAAGCATCATATTTAAGTAAGAAAATAAATATCATTGAGTACAGAGACAGCAACTTTTGTTTAGCTAGAGTCGAAAAATTGTAACAAAAGCTTCACTGAAAACCAGAAACCTATGCAAGTGTGGGAGAGCCACGGTCTTCGGTACGAATTGGCAAGCTCAACTGGAGTGATACCATAGCCTCACAGAAAACTGGGATGAAACAACCACAGCGTGTAAGTTAGATTCCCGGAGGCCCAATCCTTTCCTAGAAAGAAAGAAAGGCAACGCAATACAACAAACGTTCACAGGAAACCGGCGTGAAACAAACACTTGTGAGTGAAGTTACTGAAGGCTCGATCCTACTCTTTTTTTTTTTTACTTGCTATAAACCAGTGCTTGACTGCGATCCCTCCTAATGTTAAGCAGTGATGCAATCGTTGGTGGTAAGGCGCACTAGTTTATTAAGAGCCTATTCACTCTAGCCTTGAAGACACCTAAGTTGTATTCGGACGGAAAGACTGCAGCCGGCAAACTGTTCCAATCCCTCGATGTACGCGGTATAAATGACGAGGCAAAACGCTTAGTCCGGGCCGCAGGTGTCTCAACAACGTAGAGGTGGATATTAGCCGTACGCCGGGATGTCCGAAGGTGAAATTGGGATGGCGGAATGAAATCGTGCATTTCCTGGGCACACTCTCCAAAATGCATCCTGTAGAAAACCGCAAGGCTGGCTACTCTGCGCCTGTGCTCGAGACTTTGAATATTGGACCCAACCAATCCTCAAATACCTAGTAATAACCCACAAGAGGCCGACTACGCACTTGTAGTAACTCCTTTTGTATTACGGGTGTCCATGGGCGGTGCTGATTGCTTACCATCAGGTAATCCGTGTGCTCGTTTGCCGACCTTAAACATAAAAAAAAAAACTATTTATTTTGGTGTAAAAATATCTTCCGTGTCTGTTCTTAGTCTTTATTTATTTTCTTACATACACAATGCGTATAATTGTAATATACAGGAACTACATTATTTAATTTTCGTACAATAACTGTGAAACGGGGTACATAGAAATCGAGGGGTAAATAGAATTAGAAAAGGGGTAATAATACTAACTAGCCAAAGACTGTTTCGGGACTGTTAATACAGCGCTATGTTTCGCCGTGTGAGTGAGGTTATCGGAGACCCAATCCCTTCCCCTCCCCTATCCCTTCCCAATCCTTATATCCGCAATCCTTATCTCCAAATTGCCGGCAACGCAATCGTAACTCCTTTGGTGTTGCTTACCATCAGGTAATCCGTGTGCTTGTTTGCCGACCTATTCCATAAAAAAATAAAAAAAAATAGGAAAATTCGTCAACATCTATTTAACCCTTATGTGTATCCATTAACTCCTCAAATTCTATTTACCCCGTTTTAAGGTACTTATATTTACTTGAAGTTTATCAGATAAAATTGTGAGTTTTGATTATTCTATGGTTGCCATAGAGGTATCTAGGACAATATACCATACAGAGGGCTGTGGTAAGGTAACAGTCTTTGGTTGGAAGTCTTTCAGTTGAGGGTGTAAATGCAATAAGTTACCGGAGCCTAGAGCAGGAGAAGGAGCTAGGTGGTTTTTAGTCAGTAAGAGTCTGACACTCCCTCTCGCTTCACCATGGGCGGGAGAAGTCATTTGATGATTTTTCCCCCCCTTAAAAAAGGTTAAAGTTCAAGCCGTTCCTTATTTATTAATAATGCATACAAATACAGAAAGAGAGGTATTAAAAACTGTATATTCCTACATGGAACATCTTCCTGCAGTCCTTCGAAAAGAAAAATGTAACAGGCATAAGACACAAGTGTGAGAGAGTCCATGCTTCGGCATGAATGGTCGGAAAACCGGCGTGAAACAACCACAGCGTTGTGTTTCGCCGTGTGAATGATGTTACCATCTTCCTCCATCCCCTCATCCAATCCTTAAAAATATCCGAAGCCCTTATAAAGCTTCTAAAAGACTGGCAACGCGCTCGTAACTCCTTTGGTGTTGCGGGTGTCCACAGTGGTGGGGCCAGACCTAATTGCAATATGGGCAAGACTGATTTTCATCCCCTTTTCTGTAACGACCTGAACACGAAAGATAAAAATTGTTGAGGCACGAGGCTCCCTTTACCGCGAGGCCGGCCGTAGGCGGTGGCCCACTTCGCCTTATACCGCCTCCGGATATCCATGGGCGGCGCATTGCTTAGCATCAGGTAATCCGTCTGCTCGTTTGTCGAACTATTACATAAAAAAGAAGAAGAGAAATAGGTATAACTACACTACCTCTCCTCGACCCACCAGTCCCACCACCTTTTAGCGATTTTGTTTTCGTACTGAAGTTTGTTTACGCGTGGTCTTTAAGTTGAGTCGTCTGTTGTGATAACAAGCAAAACAATACTCCCTTCTGCTCCAGCGCTGCTTCCAAGCTACATTATTGTGCGTGCATCCAAAATGTTGGTTCTCCAAAGACGTCCTTGTATCCCCTGTACCATACAAAGTGTATCCAAAGCAATCTATTGTGTAATCATATCAAATAGTCGTATACATATACATTTTATTAAATTATTTACCTGTATCATTCTTGTATATAAAGCTCAGTTTTATATAATAAATTGTTTTATTTCGTAATTACCTTAAATTGAGTTTCTGAATAAGTCGAAAAGAAATTGATTGGAGCAATATAATAATATTTTCAAAATGAATCATTATTATAATCATCAGCCTATGAGTGCTCACTGCTGAGCAAAAGCCTCGTCTCACACGAAGGTTAATTTGAAAATTAATCACCATGCTTGCTTATTACTCAAGGCGGATTGGCGATTTCAAACTTATAATATTACTAATATTATAAATGTGAAAGTTACGATGTTTGAATGTTTGTTACTCAATCACGCCATAACGGCTGGACGGATTTGGATGAAATTTGCCACAGGCATAGGATACATTCCGGAATAGGACTTTCTATCAACATACCATGCCGGCGGAAGCTAGTTTAGATAAATTAGAAGTCCAGGTTTCCTCAGGATGATTTTCTTCACCGTATGTCAGTGGTGTCTAAATTATCATAGAAAGGACATATAACTCGGAAAAAGTCACATTGGTACTTGCCAGGTTTCGAACCCTTACATGAGAAGCGGGCGCCTGTTCCCGACTGTTCAGGCAATACATGTAGGTACCTACATAATTGCCCTTGATCTGTAATCCCTGGTTGAACAAGGACTTCTTCTACATAAGAGGGGTTTGCCACAATCTCAACAGGCAGGCGGGTTGGAGATCTCAATAAATGTACAGGTTTAGCTGAGCAGAGCTCTTTTTCCTAGTCTCTCAGATCAGGCAGACGGATTATCTGATGGCAAGCAATCGGCGCCGCTCATGGAGGGTGTTTATCAATACCAAAGGAGTACAAATGCGTTGTCCATCTTATGCTTAGTTAAAGTAAGTGTTTTTAAGTGTAGGAGAGCCATGCTTCGGCAGGAATGAGTCGGCTCGCACGGATTTACAGAAAAACAGCGTGGAACAACCGTAGCGTTGTTTTGCAGTGTGAGGTTACCTTCTCCAAAATATCAAAATCACTAAATCTCAAAAGGTGGGCAACGCACTCATAATTCCTCCGTTGTTGGGGGTATAGCGAAATACATACCAACATTCTATGGAAATACATACCAACCATCACACCTCATATTACCAGATTACCATTACCGTACCGTAACTCCTTGAAGAACCAGATTACCGTTACCATACCTCCGTGACCAACAAACCAATACCTTCGTTTTTTACTTTTTGTTACGAGAAACAATGAAAGAAGCCGCCTTGAAAAAGGCGTTGGGAGCGTTTTCGACTTCTGACAAAAACTCTTCTCGAAATAGACGTTTGTAACGTTTTTGACACTGCTCAGAAACGAGATACAATTAGCAAGCGAGCAAGCAGAAACGGAGCTCGACAAACACGGAGGCACGAAGTTGCGGTCCACGGCACAGGTGGACACTGAACACGTCTGCAGTCTCGGCGACACCAAAGCGAAAGGACGCGTCGTCGTGGTCGTCTCACCGTCCCCGACTGGGGGCGGGCGTGAGGTCGCGCGATCCAGGCTGATGCCTGTTTCGGCGGTATCGCTCGCTGCCTGCAACAGCAAGTGAAGTCCTTGGAGTAGTCGGGCCTCTTGCAGGGCCCAAAGTGGTCGTGTCCTGTGGGTGGCGCCGCCATGAGTCGGGCTCGAGCCAGGGCGAGCTCGGCGAGCTGTAAACTGTTAGCGGCGCGTATTCGAGTCCGGTGTGGGCGGAGTCTCTACCAGCCGGCCAGACGCGGGCGGGCGGGAAGGACGCGGCACGCGCCTTAATTATGCACCGCGACGCGCAGTCGCTCTATCGAGCCTTGGGATTTTGGGATAACCGCGAACTGCTATTGGTTGATTATAAATGTTCTGTTTGTAATAGTGTGAAAGCTAGCCATAGTAAATGTAAATATATAAGTAGGGACATTTTACCAAATAAATCATTCCGAATCACGACAGCCTCCGAGTTTTATTACAAGAAGAAACCTGCTCTCACTCCTAAAGGCATTTTAGGGATTTGGAATAGGGTGGGAGAAGGATTGAACCTACGGTAGGTACCTAACTTCACTCACACGGCGAAATATAACTTATAAAAACTTACTTTATCGACTTGCATACATTATCTATACTTATAATAAATCTGTAGAGGGGTCAATTCTGTACTGTTCTGTGTGTATTGAATATATTTTCAAAATAACTTCCAGGGGGTGATAAATGATCGATACTGATGCCAAAAATGCAATCAGTAAAATTTTTGTCTGTCTGTCTGTATGTTCCTTATAGAAACTAAAACTACTTACTCGTACAATTATTCTTTACTTTACTACTGGGCAGGTTATAGGATACTTTTCATCACGCTACAAATAATAGCAGAGCAGAGCAGTGAAGGGAAATGTAAGGAAAAAGGAGAAATTAGGTACTTCCTTTTTTAACCCTCGACGCAAAAAGAGGGGTGTTATAAGTTTGACGTGTCTGTCTGTGGCATCCTGAGCCTGCACGGGTGAAGCGATTTCAATTTAGTTTTTTTTTGTATTAAAGGTGACTTACGTGCGAATGTTCTCAGACATGTTTGACGAAAATCGGTTAAGCCGTTTAGAAGTTATGGGGGGTAAGTGGGGAAGGGTAACCGAGGGTCTACAAATATACTCGAGTGGGGTGTCAAATGAAAACACACTGAAAGGGAATGTTGATGACTTAATCGAGAAAAAATGATATAAAATACCTATAAAAAGAATAATATAAAGAAATAAATTGGACCCCCGACAAAATAGAAATATGTAGTTGATAATAAAATGTTTGGATCGGTCCCCAACGTCACGTTTTCTTGATTCTGTAACCGTTCTCCGACAGTCGTTTCTCCTTTTTATTTTAATTATTACTTTTTAAAGGACTAGATTTTGTCGGGGGTTTTTTAAATTTGTAATTAAGTTTAATGGTTAAAGTTACATAGAAATTATGTATGACGGAAATATTCTACATAAAGTTATCTAAAAAACATAGTATATCTTTAGCATATGTCTATCTTTTATGGTTAACTCACAATAGTACGTGTAACTCCTGATAGCTTAGCAGTTCGGACAATAAGCCGACGCGCCGTCGCATGTGAACACTGAATCATGCTATAAGGATTATTTTTGTGTAACGGTTGCTGCACTCGATGCAACGTGGTATAAAACATACTAAAACCTAGCGGTCTTACTAATAAAGTTCGGTTACACACTTGTTTAACACTTTGATAGCTATTCATTGAATAGGGAGTTAGTAATACTTTATACAAGTCATTACCAATAAACAATGCGTATACCTTGAATAACTATTTATTCCTTATACTGCTGATTGCTAGCAACATTGATGAAAGCGTTCCGAAACTTCTGAACAGAAACACTTCTTGACAATATTCTTGTATTATTATAATTATTTAATTATAATAATCAATAAAATACTTGATTTTGTAAAACAAAAAGAAGGTTTTAGGTTTTTAATTTAGTTTTAATATATTAATTTATCAATTCTTTGCGAAACATTTTTGATAAAAATGTTGATATTTCGAATGTACCTAATCAATGTCAAATACATTTTTGACACAAATTAGAGTCGTGGCATTAGAATTATACTTCGATATCCCAATTAGGTACTGAAAATATTCGTAACAGCTTTTAATAATAGGTGTTATACCTATTACTGAATATCAAGCCAATATTAGGGCAGCTGATCTTATATTCCTTTACCTATAATTGATGTGAAATAATGTTATAAGTATTAAGATACATTATCTCCACGTCAAACAATTTTAAAACTTCACAATCTCCTTCAAAATTTCGGTTTATATCGCCATCATACCCCATCTTCTGGTTAGTCAACTGCCAATCAGCTGGTTCTCACCAGTAGACATGTGAAATTAAATTAGTTTATCCTAATATATCAATGAACGAACAAATAAATAAGTATTACAAATATTGTATTCGTAATACGTATCTGTATCTATTACAGATATTTCGTCACACTTCTATGCCACGTATTAATTTTTATCCTATGCTTGATGCTTGATGTTGTGAATATAAATATCATCATCATCATCAGCCTATAAGTGCTCACTGCTGAGCAGAGGCCTCTTTTAATACTGAGAAGGTTTGAGCATTAATCACTACGCTTGCTCAATGCGGGTTGGCGATTACAAACTTACAATTGAATGAATACCTACTCAGAATGAATATAAATATGTTCTAGTAAAAATAGAAAAGATTATGTTTATTTGGAAATAGTAATGCGATTGTTGTTTTGCCTTTTTAGGAATAACAACCTGGTTGTACCGACAAAAATAAAAATACTGACACTGGATGTTTGATTTTATTAAATATGCCTTATTCAAGCAATCACATTTCTAAAGTAACAAATTCTGCGATATGCGACACGACTTGCCAATACGATAGATACTCTGCGACACCCATTTGTGATAGATTACTGACTCGTTCCATGAATATCAGCTGCATCGGCTTGATCTTTTGTCGTGTAAAGGCAGGGCTCTAAAGCTATGCAGGCATGGATTTCTGCTGGGGGACCCTTAGTCCTATGCTGTACCTATATCATGAGATAGCAGATCAATAAATTCCATATTATGTTTCTTTGAAAATTTATATTTTCTTTATAAACTCTGCACCTTCAAATGAAAATATCATCGTTAGGATCATTGCGAAATTAATTTTCTTTCTTTTTTGTTGATTGTTCGGATTTCACAATCACTAAACACATTTTAGCAAAATAATGTAAAATCAATTTTATGAGTCTGACAGTTAAAATACGAAAATGATCGCTTATTCACACGTTATACTAGGTCCACGGGCTGAATAAGTCTTGTCTAACGTTTCATACAATTTTGACAATGGTTATAACAGCTGTATACGCGGGAAATGTCAAAAATTGATTATTAGTAATGTGTCTGCTATACCTCTGTTATAAGATGTGTGTAATTTTTTATTAGTAAGGGGGTAGGGTTTTATGAAATATTTGTAACACTTACCTATTAGTTAGATCCGTACTATTCTATTTATGGACGGACGGATAGCGGAGACTTAGTAAGTAATATATGTATACTTTGATTTTGTTCTATTGCTATAGGCTGCTTTTTTTAATACAGCACGCGAGCGAAGGCGCTGGCGAAGGCTAGTAAGGAAATAAAACAACAAGTAATCATGTTACGCGACATTTTAATATTCCATATAAGCCGACTGGTTTGGGATCAGCCGTTAGTGAACCTTACATTGTGTCATCAGCTAGGCATTCGTACAAAAATCACTAATATTTGGTCCATTCAGACAACGAGAGCTTGTTCTAGGCACTGACATCCGAGTGGACAGCTTGAGGGCGGGAAACTCAACTCTACGAGAGAATCGATGATCAAAGGTTAAAGTCAAAAATCATTTATTCCAATTAGACCCTTACAGGCACTTTTGAACGTCAAACAAAGTTTTGAAGATATAGTGTCAGTCTGTCGGTCAGTCCTCTTAGTGAAGCTATTTGCTCGTTCCAAAGTGTAGATTCCGATGGAGAAGAACGAGCAACAAACTCCATGGTTACTCTTTTTAAATCAGTTTCACATACAGATTCCTTTTACAAACAGTTGGTTCAATTATGTGAGAACAATGTAACACTAATATTTATTAAAATATAAAAAGAAAATAACCTACAATAGACATTCCGGAGCTGACCAGTCCCAACTGACAGTCCAAAAAAATTCCTGCTCTTTATGGCATAGGCCGGCCATCGAGCAGGCGAGTTATCGGTGCGTCGCCCTCCATTGGGGGCGACGTAAATTAGAAAAAAGCCATCAAATTTTGATTTAAATTTAAACCCCCGACGCAAGGGGTATTATAAGTTTGACGTGTCTGTCTGTCTGTGGCATCCTGGAGCCTGAACGGGTGAAGCGATTTTATTTGTTTTTTTTTTGTATTAAAGGTGACTTACGTGCGAGTGTTCTCAGACATGTTTTACGAAAATCGGTTGAGCCGTTTAGAAGTTATGGGGGGGGGGGGGGGGCGGGGTAAGTGGGGAAGTGTAACCAAAGGTGTGCAAATATACTCAAGGGAAAGGGAATGTTGATGACTTAATCGAGAGAAAATGATATTATAAAATAAAAAATAAAAAATTAGACCCCCGACAAAATAGAAATATGTAGTTGATATATGTAGATATATAGAAATATGTAGTCCCCAACGCCACGTTTTCTTTTAATTATTACTTTTTAAAGGAATGTTGCACTTTTCGTCGGGGGTTTTCTAAATTTTAAATTTATAATTATATAAATTTTAAAAAGTATCTTTTTTAGTACAGCATGTTTAGGTAATGAAATAGTTAATTTGTAGTACAGTCATTTATTCGATACGCTGTAATGAAGAAATGTTGTTAGCTTAATTTCTAAATGGAGGTGCAGTTAAAATTCCCCTTTAGTTTACAGTACAAAATAGGTTTATTTAAGTTATACAAATAACAGGAAACAGTTTTCCGTCACGCCTCGCTTAAACATACTCCCTGATACATTTATCTGACAGATAATTTATAAAACACAATTTTACACTATTGATAAATTAACAAATTCTCATATACTGGTACAATCAAAATATTTAGCATACATAATAGTTTACTTACGTAACTTTTCGAGCCAACTCGACTGCTTTCGAGTTACACCGGATGCCTATGATCGAAACCGGTCGAGTTGGCTCGTCAATTACGCGAATAAGCTGTTTAATATGAACATGTCTCGTGATAGCTTCTTCCAAGGAAGTGTTGGCAGGAGTGACATTACCTCCTCCCAGAGTGGGAATCGAACCCGAGACCAGCTCGGCAATGTAGACAATGTGAGCTGAATAAAAATGTAAGCTTAACTAAAGCTAAGTGTATTGTTGTCTTCCAACTAGCTGTGTCTAACTGTTCTAAACACTATTTCAATATTACATTTTACCAGCGGCGCTCTTGTGGCCACCTTTATTCGTATGGACACAAGAGCTATATTACAGTAACGAGTGTCTGTCTGATGTCCTAGAACCCTTCCTGGTAGGCTTTGGAGTCGAGTCTTGCTTGCAGTAACTCTAGCTGTCGCCTCGCCTCGCACTGGGGAAAGTTGTTCAGTTCGTAGTACTGTGGGGCTATTTTCAGGAGCCATTCCGCTGTCGAAGACATACATAATTATTAGAATGTACACTTTGCTTAACATGATACAGAAGAGTGAGAGTGTCGTGGTGACCCAGACGTTAAGGAGCCCACTTCTCAAGCATAAGGGTGAGGGTTCGAAACCTGGCAAGTACCAATGTGACTTTTCCGAGTTATATGTACTTTCTATGATTATTTAGACACCACTGACATACGGTGGAGGTAAACATCGTGAGGAAACCTGGACTTAATTTAATTAATTATATAAGTTTGAAATCGCCAACCCGCATTGAGCAGGCGTTGTGATTGATGCTCTAACCTTCTCCGGACGAGAAGAGGCCTTTGCTCAGCAGTGGAGACTTATAGGCATATAGATGATGATGATGATGATGATAAAGACGGAGCTACTCACGTTTGATATCAGTGACAGTCCGGATATAGTTCTTGGTAGTGAGCACGAACTCGTTGTAGATGACCCAGTCGGGCTTGTGGTCCAGGCACGTGCTGGGGTGGAGCTGGACGACCTGGTTGTCTTTCACTGTCAAGTAGTGACCTGTACGCTCTAAGTGGGCTACCTGCCAATAGAGAATTAAGGATTAGTAACTTCTGCCAGCGGCTTCACAGGAAAATCCCAAGCTTAAAAGCAGTTTGAGTTACTCAAGACTATAATCTATCTGTGTGCCAAATTCATTCAAAACCGTTCAGTAGTGTTTACGTGAAAGAGTAACGAACATTCATCACAGTTTTCAGTAAAAAGGTCCAGGTTTATTGAGTAAAAGATCGCTGTAGCTTGGTTATATCTTTACACATATAATTCTGCTGTATGTGTGTATGTCACTGAACTCTTCCTTAGCGGCTTAATCGATTTAAATGATTTCTGTAAGGGTTTGAGTGGCGCCCTAGATGTTTGCGCTGGATGATCTCGGAAACGGCCGTAACGATTTCGCGGAAATTCGATATCTGGGTGTTTTTGGGGAGGACTAGTTCAAATATAGTGATTCATAGTCTAGTATCATACAGGGACAGACTATGGCTTGAGATGTTACTTAGGTAAACTTATATAGAGTATATATACCTGCATAAAGAATCCATTAACTAGTGCTTTCCTTATATTTATATAGTAATCCTTGCTTGTGAACTCTGTGCTCGTCCTCTTCAAGTTAAACCTGAAAAAATACAACATCATAAATAGAACCCCATCTCTTTATTAGAAAACAATCTGTAACTAACAGAAATGGTTGATTCTATACTCGGAATTTTAATTCCATTCCAGATTTGACAATTTCAGTGTTGCAACGTTATGACACGTAATAAATAGTGACGTTGCGAAATTATTCGATATGGAAATCGAATATTTCTGAATCGATTCCTCTCGTTTATAAATTTAATCTCGTAAACTAAGTTTATCAGGAAATAAAATATTTCTGAACCGATTATTTAGTTTTGACAATTAATTAACGATCTGAGACTTTTCTGTTGTAATTGTGTGTGAAATTAATAAAAAAATGTGATCATGAAGGAACATGACGCTATCGCTATCGCTGTTACTTTATGATTATTTATTATGAATTGTGTCTGTGATTTTTATTGTCAATTAACATATCTAGCTTATTAATTTTTTCCTCTTCTTTGACAACATGGGATACGCATTTAGACCATTCGGTAGCCGTATTTTTTTGAATGCCTTCCTGTAACTGATTCACTGATTGTTTATCGATTTTTGTGTTCATCACTACACTGTTATATGTGGTATCATTATTTCACAAAATGACAATAGGTCATGTCAAATCAGGAATCGAATTAAAATTCTGACTATAGAACAGATTGTCTGTACCGAGCCAACACACAACCCTATATAGTAGAAATTCATATTGTATTTCTATCAAAACCTATAATCAGCTTACAAATAACCTATGGTCTAATCGGTTGAGATAATTAACTAAAAGTAAACAATGCCAGCATGGATGTATTTTATGTAAAAGTTGTTTAAAAATTGTATGTAAAAATGTTAACAATCAGCTGTAAAAATGTTTACAATCAGCTATTTACAAAAATCGATGTTGTTAGCTAATAAACTGAATTTAAATTAGCTTTATATGTATTTTATATGAGCTCTTTAATATAAAAAGACATATGTACCAACATTGTTTACCTTTAGTTAACCATCTTAACTGATATAGACGATTTCGTAGCAAAGCAAATTATCAGAATCTTTAGTATATTATAGTACTTTTTTATATTATTTATTTTTATGTGAGGTCAATGGAGGGCTAATACTTCTCCTTCCCCATACCCTATCTCCAAATTCCTGATCCCTAAAAGGCGGACAATGCACTCGTAACTCTTCTATTGTTGCGGGTGACCATGAGCAGTTCTGATTACTTACCATCAGGTAATGCGTGGGCTCATGTATGGTCCTATCATATAAAAAAAAACTTTGTGAAAGAAATAGTCCTATTCTATGAGGATACAAAGGTTGACTCACCTATCCATGATCCTGCTGAGTTGCTGACGTACATTGTCTCCAGACTTTAGTGACCGGTAGTTGATGAAGTTATCATAGCACCAGTGTGGGTCTTCCATATCTGAAAAATACATATATAACGTTTTTGTAGCATTTTCTTAACTTTTGCATACTTTTTGACGTTTCAGTAGTACTGTAGGTATGGTTTAGTTGGAATACATTTTAAGGTTGGGAGAGCCATGCTTCGGCACGAATGGGTCGTCTCGACCGGAGTGATACCACGGCCTCACAGAAAACTGGCGTGAAACAACCACAGCGTTGTGTTCGTGTTTCGCCGTGTCAGCGAGTTTGCTGGAGCGCCCCCTCCCCCATCCTTATATTTCCGAAACCTTTATCCCTAGAAGGCCGGCAACGCACTCGTTACTTCTTTGGGCGGCGCTGATTGCTTACCATCAGGTAATCTATCTACTTGTCTGCCGACCAATTCCATAAACTTTTTAATTGTGACTTGACTTGGAAGGGTTTTTCTCCTGTCTGGGGTCAAAAATCCATGTAAAGATCATATAGTAAGCATTCCTAGATTGATTTTTGGCTAACCTCACTTACAAAACACAACGCTGTGGTGATGTAACGCCGATCTTCTTTGTGTTCCGGAGCATGGCGAGCTCAACTCAACATATTTCAAGCTACCATTGGGCTTGAAGCCAGAAGAAATTGGACAAAATGGTTCATGTTTGAGCGAAGAGATTATAGTTTACAGGGTAATGCATCAAGCCCTATTTGCAGGTACGCAATGATTGTGTTGGTTTTTAGTCAAAGTAAGAATGTCAGTAAGAGTCTGACACTCGCCCAAGCCTTTTCTGGAGGGGACACTATTTTCATTTTTTTTTTATGGAACAAGCCCGCCACAACTTCCCAAAACCGCTGCAACATCTGTGCACCAGGACTACAGTAGATACAACCATGAAAACACCGGAACACTGAAGTCCGCCGCGTCCCAGAGACACGAATGACTGTCTTGGATCCCGCAACGAAATAAATCAGAAGATATTATTTGAGGAGGAGAAAAAACGAAATAGTTTTCACTTCCCTCAGTAAATTTAATGCAGGAGACAGAGTGACTAGGTCTTAAAGGCACAGAAGAGACTGTACAACTGGGAGAAGCCCAGTCGCCAAACATCCACTGTTTTTAGTTTATAAAAAGTATAATACTAACTCTGTTTAAAAGCATGGTAGACGTTGAGTAGCGTGAGGTGGTCCCCGTCAATGTGTGCGAATCTCATCTTAGCCTCGTCCGCCGCCTTGCGAGCCTCGTTGGGTCGCACGAAGCATTGTTGTACTGGAAATATGGGCAATCAAATTAGTTTTACTGAAGTGTGGTTGTAATGTGCATTACTATAGTAGTTATGTTTTGGATTTTTCTCCTGTGTCGTGGATGCGTTTACAAACATACAATGTCACATACACATCACACCCAGACCCACAATAACTATTTTTGGGATCACACAAAGTGTTGGTTCGTGCGGGTATCGAAACCTCGACATGTTGCGCGGCAGCCAGTTGCCTAGCCACCGCGCCAGCAATGCAGACAAAAAATACGACCCTATCAAACTTTATTATAGGACACCACTGACAAACGGTGAAGGAAAAATTTATGAGGAAACCTGGACTTATTATTTGAAATAACAATGAGCAAGCGTGGTGGTTAATGCTCAAGCCTTCTCCGTGTGAGAAGAGCTTTACTGAGCAGTGGGCACTTATATACTTCTTCGAAATATGCATTTCGAAAATTTTTTTTTTTAGACCTTTATATGGTCAGTCCGTGTTGCGGGACAAGCGCAATGAGGCACCGCAGCCTTAGCCCAGAGCAGGAGAAGGAACGGGGAGGTTTTTAGGCAGTAAGTCTGACACTCCCTCAGAAGAAGGCATTTGATGATTTTCCCCTCACATAAAATACCTATGTTGCACATGTATTAAATTATAGTTCAGTCTCACCTGACAGCATAGCAGTGATGGAGAGGATCTCATTGGAACAGTTGTGGTTGCAGCTGGCGATCAACATCTTGGCGAGCTGAGGGTCCAAGGGAAACTCCGCCATCACAGCGCCCAGGTCCGTCAGATTGCCGTCATCATCTGAAACGAGAAGCCAAATAGACTATTAATAGGTCGGCAAATGAGCAGACACCACTGACATACGATGAAGGAACACATCGTGAGGAAACCTGGACTTATAATTTCTAATTATAAGTTTGAAATTGCCTTGAGCAAGCGTGGTGATTATTGCTCAAACCTTCTCCGTGTGAGAAGAGGCCTTTGCTAAGTAGTGGGCACTGGTAATACTCCAGTTCGTTTGCCGACCTATGGCATACTATAAAAAAGTAGTTACATAAGGCTCAATACCCAAATCCCCTAACCTTAAATCCCTAATAACCACCGTCAGAACGTCTGACGATTATAATTAAAAAATGTTCACCATAATGAACTATTTTTTTTTCTAATAATAAACGTTGCTCCATACTAGTATTTTCTCCTATGTCGTGGATGCGTTTACAAACATACAAATTCACATATACATCACACCCAGACCAGGAACCACAATTTATGGATCACACAAAGTGTTGTTCCCTGCGGGAAACGAACACGCGACACGTTGCACGGCAGCCAGTTGCCCGGCCCAGCGTCAACCGTGCAGTTCATCATCATCATCAGCCTATAAGTGCCCACTGCTGAGCAAAGGCCTCTTTTCATATGGAGAAGGTTAGAGTATTAATCACCACGTTTGCTCATTGCGGGTTGGCGATTTCAAAGTTATAATTAGAAGTTATAAGCCCAGGTTTCCTCACGATGTTTACCTTCACCGTATGTCAGTGGTGTCTAAATAATCGTAGAAAGTACATATAACTCGGAAAAAGTTACATTGGTACTTGCCCACACATGCATGAGAAGCGGGCTCCTTAACCTCCGGGCCACCAACAACCGTGCAGTCAATTGTACCAAACAATACCAAATGAAAAGTAATAATATTCGTAAATGGTAAACATACCCAGAGCAGCCAAGTAGTTGAGTAGCTCGAGTGCCCTCATCAACGTCTCGGGCGCGGGGGGGTCCATAAAGTCGAAATGCACCAAGTCGTCGATGCCAAGTTTTTTCAACTGCAAAACTACAGATCCTAAGTTCGATCTGCAACGGCAATTGGGGCGATGTGTTAGAGTGGTCTGTCACTTCTTGGGGTCTTGATTGGGGTCATTTCATTTCTATAAACATATTACTGTTCAAACATCTAGATTTTACTTGCAGCATTGTAAAGATATTTCAGTGACATTTTTAGTTTGGGGGTCAATAGACATTTTTGGGGTCTAAGTGAGAAATAGTCGGAAATAGGCAAAGTATTATAACAAGCATGACATTAATTTAAAACAGACAATTGGAACTTGGGGTCATTAGTCACAAAAATGAAAAAAGAAAGACCCCCAAATGAAAAAATAAATAAAAATCGTATACCACCAGTCACCTTAAAATTTCCGGATAAGTATTATCTTGCATTTCATTTTTATATGCTTTCTCCGTGTACAGTCTGAAGCATTTACCAGGCCGCGTCCTACCGGCTCGCCCCGCCCTCTGTTGGGCGGACGCCTTACTAATTGGGGACACTAGGAGAGACTCCACACGAATACGAGGATTGTACACTTTCTGTTTAGCAAAACCGGGGTCTATCACGAACACCACGCCATCTATAGTCAGCGAGGTCTCAGCAATATTTGTAGATACGACTACTTTTCGTCCGATCGCTCCATTAGCCCGATTCGGTGGCGCCGGCTCGAAAATCCTCTGTTGCAAATTCGGCGGCAGTGTAGAATACAATGGTATACACTTCAACTCCCCAGCGTCTGGACCCAAATTATCAATTTCCCTCTTAATCCTCTTACAAGCGTCCTCAATTTCCTCTTGACCAGTCAAAAAAAGAAGAATGTCTCCAGCGATTTCTTCGCAAATGTGGATTTGTATGACAGTGCGGATAGCTGCTTCTAAGTAATCTCTTTCTGGTTGTGGAGTGTAGAATATCTCTACGGGATGGGTTCGACCAGGGACATTCATTAGCGGTGCGTTGTCAAAGTACTGTTGAAACTTGCCAGCGTCTAGCGTAGCAGACATAATAACTAGTTTGAGATCGGCTCTCTGTTTAATAACTTCTTTTAAGACCCCCATAAGAATATCAGTGGCCAATGTTCTCTCGTGAGCCTCATCAAGGAGGATAACTCTGTATTGTTCTAACATGGGGTCTGACATCGCTTCTCTCAGCAACATACCATCTGTCATGTACTTAAGTATGGTTTGTGGTCCGGAACAGTCTTCAAAACGGATGCTGTAACCAACTTGCTGGCCTAAAGCTACGTCCATTTCTTCAGCAACTCTCTGAGCTACTGACATGGCGGCCACTCTTCTTGGTTGTGTACAAGCTACGCCTTTGGATTTGCCCGCAGTAACAGCAGCGAACTCTACTGACCATTGCGGTATCTGTGTGGTTTTTCCTGAGCCAGTCTCACCGACAAGGACAACACACTGGTGGTTGTTTAGAAGTCTCATGAAGTCATTTTTGTATTCCCATACTGGGAGGCCGAGACGTCTACGTAGGAGCTCGTGGTAGCGCTGAGAGTGTGGTAGACCTGAAACAAAGTAATAAGGGGTTGACTTACTTATCATTTACAATTGACATCACTTTTTTTATATATAATAGGTCGGCAAACGAGCTGACGGATTACCTGATGGTAAGCAATCAGCGCCGTCCATGGACACTCGCAACGGAGGAGTTACGACCGAGTGCGTTGCCAACCTTTTGGGGATTTGGGGAGGTAGAAGGAGAGGGGAAGGATTGAGACTCCGGTAACCTCGCTCACACGGTGAAACACAACGCTGTGGTTGTTTCACGCCAGTTTTCTGTGAGGCCGTGGTATCACTTCGGTCGAGCCGACCCATTCGTGCCGAAGCATGGCTCTCCCACACATTCTCGTTGTAGGGGTTTTTAGGTTTCTCGACTTAGAGATTCTGAACAACTGTATGGACCTTTTATCTATACTAATACTAACACCAATTACTAATTATAATAGTTTGTTTGAACGCCTTAATCTCAGAAACTACTGGTTCGAATTTAACAATTCTCATTGTGTTGGATAGTCCATTTATAGAGGAAGGCTTGAGGCTATAATCACTCTATGACCAAAACCAGTCGAGGAGTGGCTATAACCTTGCGAGACTAGTATACTGCTCTCTCTCTATACTTGTTCAAAAATCTTATGGCTTGTAAGAAGTCTCCATATGTATGGACCAAAATCTGTAAACAGATAAGACCAACACTTCCGTCTAGCTTCTTTATAAAAAAACTGAACATGATCAAAATAAACTCACCAGTGAAAGGGTTGACACCCGGAGTGCTGGTAGCAGTTGGAGGCATACTGGTGCCTAGAGTTGCTAGTGCAGACTCTGAGGACTCGCCGCTACCGCCAGACTTGGCAGCCGCGGCCGCCTTCTCTTCCCTGGAGACAACAAATAAATATGAAGTTTGGAAACACAGACTTAGGGGAGGTCCTGTGGACAATAACAAAACTGTGGAGATTTAACATGTAAATCTGAATCTTGAAAAACAAAATTGGTTCTTCATTCATACACTTCCAACACTGTCATTTGCGTCGTTGACCGACGCTAGTGTACGATTTGTCTACAACAGTTTTTGTTGGCTATTAAAGACATGTAAACAAGTTAAATTATATGTTTGAAAACACACTAACTAATCAGGAGACATTCCTAATTATGGTCAAAATATTTTTTGTTGTTTCCTTACATGTCTTAGGTTTGTCGAGTCTAGATAGAATGGATCAAATATTCTTCAAGAACAATATAACTCCCCTTTGTTTTGACCCCAGAATCTGCTCTAGGGTCTGAAAACATATAATTGTTTGGAGCGTTGGTGTAACCAATCTATACTATTATTATAAAGAGGTATTTGTAAGTTTGTATGTAAGGGGTAATCTTTGGAACCGCTGGTCGGATTGCCAAAATTCTTTCACTGATAGATAGCTACAATGTATGGTATAAAACATCACGCTACGATCAAATGGAGCCGAGCAGCAGGTGAAACCGGGAAAGAGTAGCTAGTGTGTAAATAATTGCAATTTCTTCAAACACTGTGCATACAAATCAAACCAAAGTCTTTATGATAAAATTATTATAACAATAATACTGAATGGTCTTGCCAATTTTGTTATTAATACACCATCATCCATTTGTAAGCTCACATTAATACAATAGCCAGGATGTACTTCAGATTGAGTAATTGTGTTCTACATACATAACTTTATCTTTACTGGCTACCTTTTTTTTTTTGTGGGGGTATACTCATCAAATGACTTCTCCCGCCCAGGGTCAGGCGGGAGGGAGTGTCAGACTCTTACTGACTAAAAACCCCCCTGTTCCTACTCCTGCTCTGGGCCGAGGTCGCGGCGCCTCATTGCGCTTACCCCGCAACCCCGGCTACTAGCTACCCTGGCTTCGCAAGTGAGCAATTCTAATACAAAATTTCTCCTTTATTTCATTCCATTTATTTTATGCATGTTATTATTCATATAATATAAACCTTCCTCTTCAATCACTCTATGCATTAAAAAGCCGCAACAAAATCCGTTGCATAGTTTTAAAGATTAAAGCATACATAGGGATATAGGGATAGAGAAAGAAAAGTGACTTTGTTTTCTATACTTCTATACTAATATTATTAAGAAGTAAAATTTGTTAGTTTGTATGTAGGGGGTAATCTTTGGAACCGCTGGTCGGATTGCCAAAATTCTTTCACTGATAGATAGCTACAATGTTCCTGAGCGCTATAGGCTGAAAAATCACGCTATGATCAAATGGAGCCAAACAGCGGGTGAAACCGCGCGAAAGTAGCTTATACTATGTAGTGATGGGCAAACTTCATTACACAAGGTGCTCTATCAAATCCCTTACTACTTCAAAGTAATTAATATCTTAAAGTACATGATAAAGTACTTTTCAGTATGGGAATGATGGGTGTTTTTGCTACATAATAACTTTAATACAATTCATTCGTGTTTTTTGATATCATGAATAATTCGAGACTAAAGTTAAATAATGTTTGGGGATTTTTGAGAGACTAACACACAAGTATTCATTTTTATGATTGACTAGCTAGTCTCGCGCCATTTCACCCGCTGGTTGGCTCCATTTAATTGTAGCGTGATGTTTCATAGCCTATAGCACTCAGGAACATTATAGCTATCTATCAGTGAAAGAATATTGGCAATCCGACCAGCCGTTCCAAAGATTACCCCCTACATACAAACTTACTTTTACCTCTTTATAATATTAGTATAGATAAGTAATTTGCTCATGGACACTTGGTCAATAAGCATCCTCACAGTATATTCAAAGATCACAATTATTGCCAGTATATTAACAAAGATGTGGCAATATGTTGATAAAATATTTGACTGAGTTTACTAATTCTATTCAGATGATGTATATAGTTTCAACCAAAATAATTAATGATTTTCCCATTAACTGTAAAATAATGAAAATTTGGTCAGTGGGTCGTCTTAGGGTTTGAAACCTGTTGACCATTATTTATTATTTAATTAATTAATTTGTTTCATATTTATTTAATTACTTATTCAATAATGTTGAAATGTTTATTTACATAACTGTTATTAAAATTCTTTTTAAAATATATCTTTTTTAATATTTATGGTGTTACTGGCCTTCGTGGTAAAAAAAGGTCGACGAGCATTGGAATTTCTTAACTATTTCAGGCATGCGCCGTGCATACTACGTCCATTAGTTTCTACTTTACAACTCTTGAATTATTAAGTGCATATCCCACGCACTTTATGGCTTTTTAGTGTTTAAAATAAGACAATAGCGAGATGAACAAGGTAAACACATGTATGGAGACCGGTATAAGCGCCCAAATAAATGAAACTTGGGATAACTCTAGAAGTCTAAACTGCTATGATATTTAAGCGATATGTTAATGTTATGGATAATTTGAACACGCGGATACGTATTTTGATCACTAAGGTTTCAATTAAATTAAATAATTGATCAAAACGCAACAAACAAAGGCATGTACTTAAACGTAAATTAAAGCATGGCACAACAAATGTTTGAAAACGTGTTACTAACCTTTTCTTTTTGATAAAGGGATCCATCACTTCAATACGACGCTTAGACATTTCTAATTACAACACATAAAACACGAAAATAAATAAAATTAAGAGAAAATTCTTTCAATTTTCCAATAATTTTCAACATCCAACAAGATGGCGACTTCGCAGCTTTGAAACAAAAAAAGTTGGATAATTTGTTTATGGTTTTAATTGACTGGGTTGCAAGTTGCAAATTTTTATTATTGATGTTTTTGGCCTATTCTGTTCATAGTCCAAACCTTTTTGATACCTTGTGGGCAATGTTGTAATAAGATTAAAAACCTTTCGTCTTTTTTTAGAATTTCTACTAAATTATAATATTTAGAAATCCTTTCTGTGTAGGCATAACTATATTATGTCCCAAGCATATCTTGACATTTCTATTAAAAAAAACATTTGCGGTTCATTTTACGCAAGCTAAAAGTTTCCTATCGACGTTTATTCCATCCAGAAATTCATACTAAATAAACATTAATAAAAAATTTCTTTGATAATTTTAAATTTTTGAGATCTACTTAATACCATTTCAATTGATATTAAGTAATACCCTTTTAAATTATTTAAATAAAGTACCCAGTCACATTTGTCACAAATCGTGTGAAACGGAGTGAAGTTAAACAAAAATGTCAGAATGTCAGACAAAATGCACGAACTGCGTATTTTGTTGTGCTAATTTCAATCTTTAATTAAAAATTATGTTTGTAAATGTGTAAATAATTCAAGAAACCCTTTTTGTTTTATTTATTGATGAAATTCTGTGATTTTGATCGAAACTTTGGGAGTGGATGTGAAGTGTAAATATAATGTACGAACGAGCATCGATTCTTTGTGATTTGTTATAGAAATATTTCACAAAAGATTACAAACATCAACGTTAACCCACCAAACAAACATAGACGTGAGTATTTTGTGCTTTAATCAAAGAAAATCACACGTTTAATTTTGTATTGTTGTCAGAATACAAGATGGCGGAAGGATTACCTTTTATTATGATTATTTTGTTTATTTCTCGGACTACCAGTCATACGATTCGATGTACACGTTTTGTTTGTACTTTAAATAGCTGCAATAAGTCTTGGAGATTAATTTTAACCGACTTTGAAAAGAGGTCGTGTAAGGTTAATGAACCTGTTGAAACCTGTCCAAGTTTACGACAAGTTTAGAAAAAAAAGCTCTGAAAAAGGTTTTGACCACTTTTTGTTCGAATTAAAAACGTATATTAGTATTAAAAAATGATTTATTTAATTAAATTACAAGTGATTGATAGGTAGGTAGGTAACAAAAAAGTAATTAAAAGTATATCTATGGGTGATTAATTAATAATTCTTAAAATTACTCATTCTATGTAGTGCACTGTGACTCAACATGCACTTGACGAGCTACACAAGTGTTTATTTCCTTTTACTACCAATTTATTGACATTTTAATGAATGTTATTTTCACATCATCAGCCTATATAGTCCACTGCTAAGCAAAGGCCTCTTCCCACATGAAGAAGGTTTGAGAAAAGTGTGTAAATGTATATTTAAGAAATATAATGTTCCTTGTTCATTCTTTCAGTATGTATAATTTCAATATTAATTATTTTAGGTTAATCTTTGAATACCTTAAGATGACCCACTGACCAATCCATTCCTTTTTAATTGTCCAATTTTAATTTCAAGAAATTTTGGTAGTTACAGGGCTTTATCAATTATTACCTAACATACTAAAACTACTTGAATACATAATTATTCATTAATATTGATAAAGATACATTTTTAAAAAGATAGATTTTGTAAAAGATATCACATAAATTTTCCGAGGAAGGCTAAAAAACATCATACCTAAGCATGCACCAAAAGGAGCAAGCTAGGAGGAGGATTAGCTAGTTTTAAGATAAACTTGATTTATTCCAAATATATTAAACATGTATATCATTAGACCAATCATGCATCTTAGCCAATTTCTTTTATGAAATAAAATAAAAAACTTATTTATGACATAATAAATTGCATAATAAAAAATGTCTCCTCAGATACCTACCTTTTTAATTGATTTATTATTAAAAACAATTATGATACCATCATTGTAAGATAATAGTGCTATTTGTGGCTATCACTATAATTGATTGAGATATTAAAAATAAATAAAGTCAAGTGTTTGACTGGTATAGCAGTTGCATATTAGTTGGGCTGCCTACCCCTTATAGAACAGAAGTGTGAGTATTTTACATATTGTAAAATTAAAACCTCTCCAACATATGTTAGTATGTGATAATCTCAAAAACTGTTGAACAGATTTCAATTGCTTTAATATAAAACTTAATTTTGGAAAAGTTTATTCTTCTTCATTAACCATAAAAGGATGGCAACACACTAGCGATTCCTCTGAAGTTGCAGATGAGAATGAGCAGTGATAATTACCATTAGATTAACCCTCTGCTTGTTTATTGTCCGTCCATACTGTTGTTTAAGTCATATAGTGTTTTGTAGTGACTATTTAAAAACAGTGTTTCTATGGTATTTTCTACTGGATAGAAGTATTTTTTGAGGCAAGTTCTTTCAAATATTTCTACAGTTTGTACCTTCTTTATTTTGTATTTTTAACAACAGTTTAGATAAATTTTGAATCCTACAAAAGTATGTAAATTTCCTAGTCAATTTATTTTCTTGTTACTTTCCGAAAACATATTATTATTATATACGTAAATGTGCTTAATCTGTATAAACCATGTGTGACACATATTAACTCATTTAATTCTGTTGCGCTGACAACAAATTGTAACAATTAAAATCAATTGAAGTGGCTCGTATTATTAATTTTTATTGTTGAGTCAGTCGGACTAAGAATAAACTCGCATGGTAGCTAATGAGTTATTGTGTGAGTTGCATGTGTGATATACTAGTTAATCCTGCACAGTTTCATCCATAGATTGGGTCCTCTTGGTGAACAGTCAAAGTTTTTTTTTGTCAACAAACTAGCAGACGGATTACCTGATGGGATGGTAAACAATATGGCTGCATGGTTGGTGTGTTTGCTGGGTAACTGGCTGCCGTGCAATGTGTCGCGGGTTTGATTACCGCACGGAACAACTCTTTGTGTGATTCGAAAATAGTTGTTCCGGGTCTGGGTGTCATGTGTATGTGAATTGTTACCACATCCATGACACAGGAGAGAATACTAGTATGGACCGACGTTATTATTTAATGAAAAAAGGGTGAAAGAAAAAAATTTGCACACAAATTTTAACACATAAATGGCTTTTCATCAAGCTGCTGTCTAAATAGAAATAGTGAATATCAAATAACCTAATCAATCACGTTAGCAAAAATAATGCTTCATACAGCTAAAAATATTATTATGTCGAAAACACTAATCCATATTTTGAACTTTATAACAAAACTATAAAGGTTAAAATTGACGATGAAGTTGAATGAATATTTTATAAATTGCACGTCTTGCTAATCCCGCAAAAGCCACTCCTCTGACCTCCATTGCTTATCGATAGGTATCTATACAAATAATAGGATTGTATAGTTCCACATGTCTGTCTGTCTGTCTGTCATTTGTCCGTCTGAGTTTTTGAACTTTGTTGGACTAAGGGTCGGTGAGGAAGGGTAGCTCGCCGCCCGACCAGAACTAGTAGACCCGAGCGTATGGCGCGTAGTGTTTTCGCGCTTCGAAAGAGCCAATAGACCACTACAGATGGGGCCCTATAGGACTGACGTTTAGCCGGGGTTGCGGGGTAAGCGCAATAAGGTACCGTGGCTACGGCCCAGAGCAGGAGAAGATACCGCAGTCATTAAGAGTCTTTTTTTTTGTGAGGGGAAAATCATCAAATGAATTCTCCCGCCCAGGGCCGGGCGGGAGGGAGTGTCAGACTCTTACTGACTAAAAACCCCCCTGTTCTTTCTCCTGCTCTGGACCGAGGTCGCGGTGCCTCATTGCGCTTACCCCGCAACCCCGGCTGAGTCATTAAGAGTCTGACACTCCCACTCTAGACGAGAGAAGTTATTTGATGATTTCCCCCACAATAATCGGTGTGTTGCAACGCTTGTGGTATGTTTCACCGTGTAAGTGAGGTTACCGGAGAAAATATCTATCTATACTAGAAAATATATATACATATATCCTCGATTTAAAAAAAATAACGCACTAGTAACTCCTTTGTTGTCTTTCAAAGAAAGAAAATTGATTTTATTAAAAGGAAATTTATATTGGTTAGCAATAAACAAGAGCACACGACCAAAAAAAAAAATGGCCTGTAGCTATCTTACAAATATTATAAACGCGAAAGTGTATAAGTACGGATGGATGTTTGTTACTCTCTCGCGTAAACACTACTGAACGGATCTGAATGTAATTTGGCACAGAGATAGATTATAGTCTGGAATATCATAAAGGGTACTTTTTACCCTAGTATTGCAATTGTAAGGGGAAGGATTGGGCCTCCGGTAACCTCAGTCACACGGCGAAACACAACGCTGTGGGTTGTTTCACGCCGGTATTCTGTGAGGCCGTCGTATCACTCCGGTCGAGCCGACCCATTCGTGCCGAAGCTTGGCTCGAAATACTCTGGTAATGCGGACGGAGCCGCTGGTAAAAGTTAGTTATAAAAGTGTTTTTATTGCATGAAATGTATTCATTCACATTCAACGTATGACATTATTATACTGAATAATATTAACATTGTAAATATGAATGCAGGATGTCGATTTGTAAGTTAAAATTTGACTCTTGTTTTGTAGAATTATGCAACGGATACTGTGCTTATGTGTAGGTATTACGGAATATTTTTGTCTGTTTGTTTTTTAAGTTTCTGAGGGTGAAATTCAGCGAATGAGTTTTCCCGCCCTAGGTAGGGCGTGAGGGAGTGTAGGTTTAGGTAATAGAAAGTTAAGCTTCCTAAGATCGGAAAAGAAGGGTCCTTCGAACAAGCATACAATTGTACGTTGGAATTTTCTATCCATCTTTAACAGCGTGGGAACTCCAATTGGGTAGTTTCATAGGTCAAAAATAAATTAATTCGACGTTTCGATACAATAAAATATTGAAAAATAACTATACTTTTATTCATCGATCGATCTATACACTAAGTTTTAGATATTTTGTAGCTAATTATTAAGAAATAAGTAAGCTATTTGACGCAAAAATACTAAGACGTCACAACTCAGTGTTTCATACAAATTTCATAGAAAAGTTTCGTTTTTGACATTTGGATAAAAGTATTGAATTTGACTGGTTGGAAACTACCGTATTGCGCGATTTAGGAACCTTTTTTTGTGAAGTTAAAATCATGAAATGATTTCTCCAGCTCTATGGAGTGTCAGACTCTTACTGACGGAAAAACTTTATAGATAGATATTTCGCGCCGCTGCAGGGTCCTCGAACAGCTGTTAGATGCTTTTGACAAAACAATTGATGTGACATTCCATTGTAAGTCAGGGTTAAATTTTAGGGCCTTTGCTTTTTCTACTAGGAAACGTAAGAATATTGTTAATTTCTCTCCTTGATTAGTTGGATCTAATCCTTAGTAACATTAGTAAATGAATGACCTATATTTTGCGTATGGATACTACACCCGATTTAATACCGATCAATGTTAAAATCAATTTAATCTCTTGTCAAGTCATCTGATTGGTTGACTGAATTATCAACAACCAATCAGATGACTTGACAAGAGATTTGACACCTAGTAAGTTGATTCTAACATTGATCGGGCTTTCGGAAACCGGGCATTAGAGTCTCGTTGGATAACCTATGACCTTCCTGCTACTAAAGGTTATAACTATCAACTGACATAGTACTTTAATCTGTTGTTGTATAAATGTGATAGAATGGCAAACGAGCAGACGGATTATCTGATGGTAAACAGTCGGCGCTGCCCATAGACACCCGTAAGAACAGAGGAGTTACGCCTGTCTACCACTCGTGAAGGATGCGGCGTACTCCTCTTGTATAGATAAGGGCCATAGCAAGACTTGGAGTATTAAGGATTGATGATAAATGCAGGCATCCAAATATGACAGAGCCCAGCTTCGACATGAATGGGTCGGCTTGACCGCAGTGATACCACGGCCTCACAGAAAACCGGCGTGAAATAACCACAGCGTTGTGTTTCGCCGTGTGAGTGAGGTTTTCGGAGGCCCAATCCTTCCCCCTCCCTCTTTCACTTCCGAATATTTAAATATTCCAAACCCTTATCCCTAAACGGCCGGCAACGCTGTCGTAACACCTTTGGTGTGCTGGTTACCATCAGGTAATCGATTAGCTCGTTTGCCGTGCTATCGCATGAAAAAGGCAATGCCGATGGCTGAAGCTAGTATAATTGAAGATAAAAATCTTATCTTTGAGCACTAAATATTTTCTTGAATTTACATACAAGAAAGTATCATACAAAAGGTGTCATTCATAATAATAGTTGTACATTGTTAAGTGTATGACCTAATGTATGTATGAGTGCACTTACTGGCAATAAATGTTGCACATCTTCCTAAAAAAATTGCATTTTTCAGTAGGATACGTTACAAGTTTTTCAATTTTATTATCTAACTAGCTAATCTCGCGCGGTTTCACCCGCTGCTGGGCTCTATTTGATCGTAGCGTGATGTTTTATAGCCTATAGCACTCAGGAACATTGTAGCTATCTATCAGTGAAAGAATTTTGGCAATCCGACCAGCGGTTCCAAAGATTACCCCCTACATACAAACTTCAAATTCTACTTCTTTTAGAGGAGTTTGTTTTTTTGTTAATTGTTTTTTGTTTAATATTAAACGTTGCCCCCACACAAGGATTTTCTCATGTGTCGTGGGTGCGTTTACAAACATACAATTTCACATGCACATCACACCCAGACCTGGAACAACAATTTGTGGATCACACAAAGTGTTTTTCCGCGGGAATCGAACCCGTGACACGTCGCACGGCAGCCAGTTGCCCAGCCACCGCGCCAACCGTGCAGTCAAGTTAAGTTACTAATGCGTTGGCCTTTCGGGATTGCGAAATGATGGGGGTAGTTACTCTTCGAGACACAAGGTGAATGTAGCTTTCACGCCGGTATTCTGTGAGGCCGTGGTTTCACTCCGGTCGAGCCGCCTCATCCATGCCGAAGCACGACTCTGCGACATTTAAAAAGTTAAAAATCACTTACGAATTGTAAATAAGTGGTACGATGTGCAGTATTTATCGCCGGCCAATGTAATGTATGTATATATGATTGTGTTTGTTTGTTCGTTACAGATGGTAGTTCGCAGGTCGAACCATACATGTGCACGTTAATACAACAACAGGATGGGACAACAGACGTCAAGGAAGAGTGAGTATTTTTTTTTTTATGTTATTTGTTTGAATTTTTATACTATAAATGTTATATTGTAAAACAATTTTTTTAAAAAAAGAGTAACGAATGGGGTTGGGGTTTCTTGCTCGTTCTTCTCCATTCGAACCTACAATTTAGAACGACCACCTAGCTTCACTGACGAACAGACTGACAGACTACTTCTCTATTTTGACGTTTCAAAAGTACCTATTTATGGTTTAGTTGGAATAAATGATTTTGACTTTGACTTTGAATCAGGTTAGTAAACAATATTTATGTTACACAACTTTCACGTTTTGTTTAGTAAAATTTATAAGTAAAATTTTACAACGCCATGACAGTCGCCATATTCGGATTGCTAACACAGTGCCGCCATCTAGCGTTACAATGTAAAAAAGGCAAACAATAAAATATATTCAACCTAGTATTAATAATAAAATTTCATTTAATATTATTTTCCATCACACGGAGAAGGTTTGAGCATTAATCATCACGCTTGCTCAAGGCGAATGGGCTATTTCGAACTTATAATAAGACGTTGAAGTCCAAGTTTCATTAGCCAATAGACCACCTTAAATGGGGCACAACATTAATGCTTAGCCGGGTCAAGCGCAATAAGGTATCGTGGCCTCGGCTTGGAGCAGGACGGGGTATAGTCAGTAAGAGTCTGACACTCCCTCTCGCCTCACCTTTGGCGAGAGAATTCATTTGATGATTTTACCCCCAAGATAGGTGACTCTCCCTGTATGTCAGTGGTGTCTAAATAATCACAGAAAGTACATATAACTTGGAAAAAGTTACATTGGTACTTGCAAGGTTTCGATGCACTAGAATGAACCCATGCATGAGAAAAAGATGCGTTAACCTCAGGGACACCACGGCTTTAAATTTTGTATTACTGATTTAAAAAATCTATCTAATAAGCCTATTAATGCCGTCTATTGAGCTAAAACCTTTTCTTTTCACACGGAAGAGGTGCGAATATTAATCACTTTATAATTTTTTTATTAATTTATTTTTATAAATAATAATATCATAATGAGAAAGAAGAAAGAAAGAAGAGAATGCCATATGCCATATGGCATTCTCTGCCAGTCAAGTTTAGGTTTTGTGTACATTCAGAATTTAAATTTTATGAATAGTCTGATGGTGATGATAATGATGATGATGTGTCCTTCCAGGTGGAGAATGCACATGTGGGTGCGGGGCTTGGGAGCGGCGCCGGTACGCGGAGTCACCAAGCAGCGTTCACAGATATGTTAGCGCGGTTACTGACAGGTTTGTAGTCATTTGTACTGTAACTTGCTCTTACCCGCGGCTTCCCTCCCGTCATTTGACTACCTACCCTACCCTACCTACCCTACCCTACCTACCCTACCCTACCTACCCTACCCTACCTACCCTACCCTACCTACCCTAACCTACCTACCCTACCCTACCTACCCTACCCTACCTACCCTACCCTACCTACCCTACCCTACCTACCCTACCCTACCTACTCTACCCTACCCTACCCTACCTACCTACCTACCTACCTACCCTACCCTACCCTACCCTACCCTACCCTACCTACCCTACCCTACCCTACCTACCCTACCCTACCTACCCTACCCTACCTACCCTACCCTACCTACCCTACCCTACCCTACCTACCCTACCTACCCTACCCTACCCTACCCTACCTACCTACCCTACCCTACCTACCCTACCCTACCTACCCTACCTTACCCTACCTACCCTACCTACCCTACCCTACCCTACCCTACCTACACTACCCTACCTACCCTACCCTACCTACCCTATCCTACCTACCCTACCCTACCTACCCTACCCTACCTACTCTATCCTCTATATCCTAAATAAAATAAAATTAAGTATATCTAACTATAGCTACTAAGTATTTAAAACTATTGTCTATCTGTGTATTGTATTATCTTTAGAACATAATTGTTGTATAACGTCTCCGTCACACAGATGGAGCGGGCGCGAGTGTGCGTGTCGCAGGCGACGGTGGCGCCGCCCCGCCTGCGTTTGCACAGCTTATAGACGAGTTAGTGATGACAGGTATGTATCATGATCATCGAATTTTTAATATTGGTAAAGTCATCAGTCTGTTTATAAATATGTCCAAAATCCAATTTCAAGTCAAAGTCAAAATCATTTATTTCAATTAGACCACATTAGGCTCTTTTGAACGTCAAGCATAAAAAGGAAAATAGTATTTCACGAGCTTTAACTTTATGCCTGTCAGTCTGTTCGTCTGTCCTCTTAGTGAAGCTATTTGCTCGTTCCAAAGTGTAGATTCCGATGGAGAAGGACGAGCAAGAAACTCCGAGCAAAATTTACAGTGGTTGATCGTTCCACTGGACCTGAACTGAAAATATATATTTATTTATCCAATGTTTCCTAGGTCAAAAATAAATTAATTCGACGTTTCAATGAATACAATAAAATATTGAAAAATAACTATACTTTAATTCATCGATCGATCCACAAAATTTTAGATATTTATTAATTAATTTTTATGAAAGAGGTAAGTTATTTGACGCTAAAATACTATGACGTCATAACTCAGTGTTTCATACAGATTTCATAGAAAAGTATCGTTTTTGACATTTGGATAAAAGTATTGAATTTGACTAGTTGGAAACTACCGTATTGCAAAAGACAGTTTTGGTTACTGTGATTGTGGAAATTTTTTAAAAGACATTAACCCCCGGTTTCCGAAAGGCCGATCAATGTTAAAATCAATTTAATCTCTTGTCAAGTCATCTGATTGGTTGACTGAATTATCAACAACCAATCAGATGACTTGACAAGAGATTTAACAGGAGATTAGTTAATTTTAGCTTTGACAAGCCTTTCAGAAACCGGGCGTAAGTGTAGTCTTTTGACAGACATCAAAAACTATTTTATAAAATTATACATATAAACCCTCCTCTTCAATCGGTCTGTGCATTAAAAAGCCGCATCAAAATCCGTTGCGTAGTTTTAAAGATTTAAGCATACATAGGGTTATAGGGACAGAAAGCGACTTCGTTTTATACTATGTAGTGATTATATTATTGTTTTTTCTTTCAGATTGGCTGCAGTACTGACGCTTGGTGCTAGAGACTTGAGACGGGAACTGGACGCGATTGTCATAAATACAGGTGAGGAGATTCTCTACATCATCAGCCTAAGTGCCCACTGCTGAGCAAAGGCCTTTTCGCAAACGAGCCGACGGATTACCTGATGGTAAGCAATCAGCGCCGCCCATGGACACCCGTAACGGAGGAGTTACGAGTGCGTTGCCGACCTTTTAGGGATTAGGGTTTTGGAGATTTAGGGATTGAGGAGGGATTGGGGGAGGGGAAGGATTGGGCCTCCGGTAACCTCACTCACACGGCGAAAAACAACGCTGTGGTTGTTTCATGCCGGTTTTCTGTGAGGCCGTGGTATCACTCCAGTCTGATATAGATTTGAGCATTAACCACCACGCTTGCTCAAGTTATAAGTATAAGTTTGTTTGAACGCGCTAACCTCCGGAACTACTGGTTTGAATTGAACAAATGAACAAATTCTTTTTGTGTTTATTAGTCTATTTATCAAGGAAGGCTATCCGCTATAGGCTATAAAACATCACGCTACGATATGTAGGAGCCGAGCAGCGGGTGAAACAGCGGGATAGTAGCTAATATATTATATCATCATCATCAGCCTATAGGTGCCCACTGCTGAGCAAAGGCCGCTTCTCATAAGGAGAAGGTTTGAGCATTAACCACCACGCTTGCTCAAGGCGGATTGGCGATTTCAAACTTATAGTTAGAAATTATAAGTCCAGGTTTCCTCACAATGTTTACCTTCACCGTATGTCAGTGGTGTCTAAATAATCATAGAAAGTACATATAACTCGGAAAAAGTCACATTGGTACTTGCCAGGCTTCGAACTTACTCTCATGCATGAGAAGCGGGCTCCTTAACCTCCATACAATATGTTATATGACTGTAGCGACATCTATCGCCCAACGATAACACCAGGCACGAACACCTCGCCTGGTCGGAGGATCCTCCCTTTTCAATGGAGGAAGAGGAACTTTCCCCCCTGTTATCTCATACCTCTAAAAGACTGGATCGCCCAATCCCCTATAATATGGTTGAGTTGGGCGGTGCTGGTGTACGTGTCATGTTTGTGAACGGACGCCGCCTATTGGGACTGGTCAGCATGAGATTGTCTAAAGTTGCTGTCCTTGAGGTTCATTATTTTTCGGATCCTTTCGTTTAACATTAGTGTTACACTGTTATCACATAATGGAACTATCTAGATTATGTAACAATGCATTGTAAAAGGTGGTTGAAAAAGAAAGAAACTCCATGGTTACTACCATGGAGTTTCTTGCTCGTTCTTCTCCATAGGAATCTACACTTTGGAACGAGCAAATAGCTTCACTAGAGGACAGACGGACAGACTGACACGCTTAATTTTAAAAGCTCCCTTACCGACCTTATGTCTGCTTATTATACTAAACATTAAACTATATCTTCAATCTTTTATTCATACAATATTAGAAAATAAAAGAAATAATTATTATAGGCAATATATTAGTGATAATTTTAAAAATGTTAAAAAAATGTACACTATCCTAAATCAAATGTTAGGGAGAGTAACCCTGTCACTTGACACGGCTATTCTTAAAGCTTTTGATGCGCAAGGAATCACCACCAAAACTATTGCTGACAATTTTGCAAATTGTTTTGACAAAGCGGTTAAAGACATTGTTCCTAACTGTAATATTAAAATAACAGATCCTAAATCAACACGTAAGCCCTTGGATTCTAGTTTGTTTTTTAAAAAAGCCTCGGCTAGCAGCGTTCATAAAATTATTAAACAACTTAACACAAGAAAAGCTCCAGGTCCAGACAATATTAAAGTCTCAGATATTAAAATGATAGGTGATAGTATATCTAAACCTATTGCTGACTTAATTAACCGAAGCATTGAAAGTGGTATATACCCAGATGACTTAAAGATGGGTTGTATAAGGCCAATCCATAAAAGAGGTAAAAAAAACGATTATTCAAACTATCGCCCTATAACATTGCTCTCGTCTATTGATAAAATAATTGAAAAATATGTCTGTGAACAAATCCATGCATTTTATAAGCAACACGATGTAATTAACCGATATCAATATGGTTTTCAAGCCGGCAAAAGTACCACAAACCTCTTGTCAAACTTCACCGATGAAGTCAATTCGTACCTAAATGATAAAAAACACGTTCTTGCGCTTTTTATTGACTTCTCACGTGCTTTTGACACACTCATTCATAGCCAGCTGATTGATAAATTAGATGACTGTGGAGTACGTGGTCCATTACTCAATTGGTGTAAAAACTATTTAAAAAATCGAACCTTTACTATAAAAGTTGACAACATCTGTAGTGAGCGCATGGCAGTAACTGAGGGAACAGCGCAGGGCTCAGTATTAGGCCCCTTGCATTTTTTATCGTATGTAAATGATATGAAAAACTGCATCACAAACAGTACATGCTATCAGTTTGCGGATGATACGTGCCTTGTTATTGCAGATAGAAATCCTCAAACAGCATGTGAACGCTTACAGCATGATTTGGATGCTTTGACAAGGTGGTGTCACGATGCTGGCTTAGTACTTAATGCAAGCAAAACTAAATTATTGGTAATTAAATCTCCACATATTAAAAAATTACCCGTTCAGAACTTAATAGCTCATGACCATGACTGCTTGCATACAGTCAATACGATCAACTGTAACTGTCCGCAAATAGATGTTGTCGATAAACAAACATATCTGGGAGTAATTATAGACGATAAGTTTAACTGGAGTTATCATATAGAACGTGTTTGCGATAAACTTCGACAATTTCTAGCTATTATGACCATACTAACAAACCGTCTGCCCTTCAAGGTGAAAATAATGCTGTATTATGCGATGGCGGAATCCTACATCCAGTATGGCCTTAGTAGCTATGGTCGTACCTATAAGACCTATCTTGACAGTATCTATAAAATACAAAAACAAATTCTTAAAACAATAGTTTCTCCTAAAATAAGATTTAAGTTTTATGATAATATAAATGGTCTCTTTAAGCACTGTAATGTCCTACCAGTTTATACTCAAATACATTTTCTGTTATTAAAAGAACAATTTTTCAATGAAAATTTACTTAACAAAATCGAACATCCTGTGTGCACTCGGGCAGTTTCTGAGAATAAGCTTCGTACACAGCGCGCCAACAATACGTATGGCGAGCGAACTAGCGGGTATATTGTACCACGGCTTATTAATAGCATACCCTCAGAAATAAAAAGTAATATTACACCTAAAAATATTAATTTTAAACTTAAGAAATATTACTTAAGTATTATTTAAGAATGTTTTCTCCTACTGATTGACACAAATATTGTATAAATTAATTTCGATAATAACGTACACATACTTAATTATAAAACTGTAACTAATTTTTTTTTTCCTTCGATTTGAGATGATTCATGATAGCACAAGTTTAAACCTTAGTGGTTTTTTGGTTGCTATTTAACGTAAATAATCTTGTAATATTTGTAAAAATGATAAATAAATAAAAAAAAAAATCCTTTATTACAGATGGTGACACCAGCAGAGAGAGTGGTGAGCCCACCGCAGAAGTATATGTACTGTCCGTTGCACCCAGGACGTGAGTATTATTATTACATTTTTTTTATGGGATAACGAGCAGACGGATTACCTGATGGTAAGCCATCAGCGTCGCCCATGGACACCCGTAGCGGAAGAGTTACGAGTGCGTTACCGGTCTTTTGGGGATTAGGGTTGTGGAGATTTAGGGATTAGGGGAGGGGAAGGATTGGGCCTCCAGTAACCTCACTCACATGGCGAAACACAACGCTGTGTGGATGTCACTATCACTATTGCCGAATCACTGACTGTTACTGACTAAAAACTTACTGGTCGTCTTTGATCTCCAATTTCTCTAGTGAACGTGGGCTATAAACTTCGCGGGGCTCTGCTAATGTAATTCTCTCGCCTTACCTTGGGCGGGAGAAGTCATTCAATGATTTTCCACTGACAAAAACACTATTAATGTAATAACTTAGCTGCATCGTTGCTTACCATCAGGCGGGATTGAAGTCAAGCACTAGTGTATATGATTAAAAAAATGTTTGTTTGTATTTACAGAACGGAAGGAGAGAGTTCCCAAGAGAGACGGACGGAGTTGACACAGACTAACGATGCAATACGGCTGCACCCGCATTTCCAGGTATATTTTTTCTAACTATTACATACAAAGCGTTTTTTGATAAGTGTATAAGGAACAAGTCTTTGTGTGATCCACAAATTGTTGTTCTAAGTCTATTTTTTAATCGGTTGTCCCACACTAGGATTTTTTCCTGTGTCATGGGTCACAAACATACAATTTCACATACACATCACACCCAGACCCGGAACAACAATTTGTGGATCACACAAACAGTTGTTCCGTGCGGGAATCGAACCCCCGACGCGTTGTGCGGTAGTCAGTTACCCAACCACCGCGCTAACCGTGCAGTCTGGGTGTGATGTGTATGTGAAATTGTATGTTTTTAAACGCACCCACGACACAGGAGAAAATCCTAGTGTGGGACGCTAGTTCTACTAACTAAACTAGTAAAGCTTTTCTTAGTTAATTTTCGTGTGTTTCGTGTATAATTATACCATCCTTTTTTAAATCATATATACCAGTGATTCTCACCTGATGGTAAGCAGTGATGCAATCGTTAAGGCGCACCAGTTTATTAAGAGCCTATTAAATTAAAGAAAAGTATAGTTTTCTTTATATAATTATACCAGCATGTCGACAACCTCGCGTGCGAAGTCGATGTACTTGATAAGTTTATCTTTCTCGGCTTTGACGAGGTTCATGTCATGCAGGACGGCCAGGTTAATGATGATTGCTCGGCTCTCGTTTCGGTCGACTACCATTATAATATACTAGCTACTCTAGCGCGGTTTCACCATTTAATCGCAGCGTGATGTTTTATAGCCTATAGCTCTCAGGAACAGGAACATTGTAGCTATCTATCAGTGAAAGAATTTTGGCAATTCGACCAGCGGTTCCAAAGATTACCCCCTATATACAAACTTACAAATTTTACCTCTTGATAATATGAGTATAGATTGTGATTATGTTTGTTTGTCCGTCAGGTTGTATGTGGCGGGGAGCTCCGCGCGCTGTTGCTGCGCGGCGCCACGCTGCCCCCCACCGCCGCGCACGCGCCCGCCGCCGCCAGGGTGCATACACAGGTACACCCACTCTATAGTTACTCACTCATATTTACATTTTGCCCATTTTGGATGGACTAATTGTAATACCAAAGAAGTTACTACAAGTTCTCTGCCTCTTATGAGTTATTAGGGCTTTATTGAAAAAAAGTTTGAAGATGAAGGATGGAGAGGGAGGGGGGGGGGAGATTTGGCGCTCATTCCCATTATTCATAAATCCATTAAAATATTGGCAACGCACTAGTGACTCCTCTGGTATTACAAATATCAGGTATTTATTAATTTAATAAAACAAGTATAAAACATAAAAAACAAAATTCCATCAGTAACGGAAAGGGTCCAAGCCACTTATAATCGGAGCTCCAAAGAAAGAAATCTTCAAATAATACGCGTCGTTTGCCTGCTCAAGTATTGGTCGAGACTATTAGCCCTAAGCCTATTTGCAGACACAGTATATGGTCAGTTTTCTTTCTAAATGTATTTAAGACACCACTGACATACTACTCTGTCAAGAAAGTACCGGGAACCTTTTTGACTGCACGATTGGCGCGGTGGCTGGGCAACTGGCTGCCGTGCAACGTGTCGCGGGTTCGATTCCCGCACGGAAGAACAGTTTGTGTGATCCACAAATTGTTGTTTCGGGTCTGGGCGTGATGTGCATGTGAAATTGTATGTTTGTAAACGTACCTACGGTACAGGAAAAAATCCTAGTGTGGGGCAACGTTTTACATAGAAAAAAAAAAGTCAATAATACACAAAATGTTTGTTATTCATCTTAATTTATTTTATCACCTTCAAAGTATGCTCCTTCAGAAACGATACACTTACGCCAACGAATAATCCAATCATCGAAACTTTTTTTACACGCTGTTTCATGAATTGAGTTCAGTGCTCGCCGCGAATTCTCCTTTATGTCTTCTAACGATTGAAAACGGGTGCCAGGAAGGGGTAATTTGAGTGTGGGAAAAAGAAAGAAGTCGGCTGGAGCCATATCTGGTGAATATGGTGGCTGCTCGATGGTGTTTGTTGAGTGTTTGGACAAAAAATCGTTTACAATGATGGCCTTGTGCGAAGGCGCATTATCGTGATGCAAAATCCAAGAATTTTCTTTCCACATTTCTGGCCTTTTTCGTCGAATTTGTTCTCTTAAACGCCGCATAACGCTCAAATAATATTCTTTATTTACCGTTTGACCTGCGGGCAAGAATTCTGAGTGCACAACACCGCGATAGTCAAAGAAAACAGTCAACATGACTTTGACTTTTGATCGACTTTGACGTGGTTTTTTCGGTTTTGGTTCAGTTGGAAGGCGCCATTCCGAAGCTTGTTGACTAGTTTGCATGTCAAACTCGTAAACCCACGTCTTGTCACCAGTAACAATGCGTTTCATGAATGTTGGGTCAGTATTGACTCGTTCTAGCATGTCCTCAGCGACTTTCATGCGATTTAGTTTTTGAAGAAAATTCAGGTCTTTTGGGACTAGCCGAGCGGCAACACGTTTCATACCCAAATTATTTGTTAAAATGGTACGGATCGACTCGTGAGATACAGAAAGTTCGGCGGCCATCTCTCTCAAACTTGAATGAGGATTTTCAGTCACTATTTCCTTCACTTTTGCGATGTTAACTTCAGTTGCAGACGTTGATGGCCTACCAGAACGAGGCAAATCTTCCATCACATCTCGACCGCTTTTGAACGCTTTGTACCACTCATAAGCACGTGTTTTTGATAAAGTCGATTCACCGTAAGCCTTCTGTAACATTTTGAGTGCCTCCGAACACGAAATTTCATTGGCGATGCAAAATTTAACACATTCAGTGCCCCCGACGCGTATGTGCGTTTCCTCGCACGCACATACGCGTCGGGGGCACTGAATGTGTTAAGACAAACTCTTTGTTCGATGTTTTTGTCCATTATGAAATTCGCAATACACACTAGATATTATAAAACTAAAAACAGCGCTGTTTAATATAAATAACAGATGCAACTCAAATTCCGCGCCAAAATGGAAAACAGTTATGCCAATCTAACAACAACAAAAAAAATTAAAATTCGAATTTGGAACCATAAAAAAAACATTCATTCCCGATACTTTGTTGACTGAATGTACGGTGAAGGAAAACATCGTGAGAAAACCAGGACTTATAATTCCAAATTATATTTTAGAAATCGCCAATCCGTCTTGAGCAAGCGTGGTGGTTAATGCTCAAACCTTCTCCGTGTGAGAAGAGGCCTTTGCTCAGCAGTGGGCACTTATAGGCTGATGATGAAGATGATGATTGTTGATTCCAGGTGGACTACATCCACTGCCTAGTCCCTGATCTGAAGGAGATCACGGCGTGCTCCTTCTACTGGGGGAAGATGGATCGCTACGAGGCTGAGAGACTTCTCGACAATAAGCCCGAAGGTAAACTCTTTGAAGCTATCTTTTTTCCTATAAAATAGGTCGACAAACTAGCTTGACGGATTGCTTTTTGATTACCAGTTATCTGCGTTCTGACAGTTTGAGTACTTGCGCCAAATATTCTTTTGATCAGTATTGTTCGTCGGACAACTCAGCAGCACTTGCTATGCTGGTTGCAAACTGACACTTGCGTGCCTGTCTTCAGAACGGGTCCACTTAAACTGGTGTGGTTCTTTCATCAAAAGACCACTACAGAATAAACTTGCACGGTTCTCGCACATTATGTTATTTTATATTGTCTGGACTTTAAAAGAGACTGACCTCTGAGTTTGTTTCGGCATTTCTTCTCAGAGTAGTCAGATAGAAAATGCCGGCTTCATCTAGTTTTTCACATATAATTTGACGTGTAAAAGTGCCGTTTTATGGCCTATTTGCAAAAATAAATTCATTGTTTCATTGGACCTGATGTTAAGCCAAGCATTACAAAAATGCATTTTGAGATGTCACAAGAGGTAACATCGGTAACTTTAGCAGTTATGATGTGCTATGATGGTTCCTTCCCGGACCTGTCACAGTTTTCGTTGCCATACTCCTCCGAAACGGCTTGACCGATTTTGATAAGTTTTTTTGTGCTTATCCGGTATCTATGAGAATCGGCCAACACCAATTTTTCATTCCCCTAAATTTTAGGGGTAGTCCACCCCAAAATTTTCTTTTAGACAAATTTTTTTAACCTACAATCCTTAATTTTCACCCTTCTACGATCAACCCTTATTTTTATGGCAAAACAACGTTTGCCGGGTCAGCTAGTATTATATATTTTTTATGTTTATGTGATGACGTATGGTACTGAGACGTGGTCCTTAACTTCTGGCCTTCTTGCTAAACTCAGCGTCGCTCAGCGCGCGATGGAGCGGGCTATGCTCGGGGTCTCTGCGCGACAAAATCCGAAATGAAGAAATTCGCCAAAGAACCAACCAAACATAGCTCGTAAAATCTGCAGGCTAAAGTGACAATGGGCAGGCCACGTCGCTCGAAGGACGGACGGTCGATGGACCCGAAAAGTGCTAGAGTGGCGACCAAGGACCGGAAATGTAGCGTGGACCGACGACATCGTCAGAGTCGCGGGGAGCCAATGGATGCTAGTTGCAACTTGTCGTCGACATAGAGGCTAAGGGAGAGGCCTTTGTCCAGCAGTGGACGTTTTCCGGCTGATGATGATGATGATGATGTCTATTGTTATAATAATGGTATGTCGTCCGTTAGGTACGTTCCTGCTCCGCGACTCTGCGCAGGAGGAGCACCTGTTCAGCGTGTCGTTCCGCAAGTACGGGCGGTCGCTGCACGCGCGCATCGAGCACTACCAGCACAGGTTCAGCTTCGACTCGCACGACCCCGCCGTCTTCGCCGCATCCACCGTCACCAAGCTCATCGAGCACTATAAGGTACTGTCGTCATCATGCATCGAGCACTACCAGCACAGGTTCAGCTTCGACTCGCACGACCCCGCCGTCTTCGCCGCATCCACCGTCACCAAGCTCATCGAGCACTATAAGGTACTGTCGTCATCATGCATCGAGCACTACCAGCACAGGTTCAGCTTCGACTCGCACGACCCCGCCGTCTTCGCCGCATCCACCGTCACCAAGCTCATCGAGCACTATAAGGTACTGTCGTCATCATGCATCGAGCACTACCAGCACAGGTTCAGCTTCGACTCGCACGACCCCGCCGTCTTCGCCGCATCCACCGTCACCAAGCTCATCGAGCACTATAAGGTACTGTCGTCATCATGCATCGAGCACTACCAGCACAGGTTCAGCTTCGACTCGCACGACCCCGCCGTCTTCGCCGCATCCACCGTCACCAAGCTCATCGAGCACTATAAGGTACTGTCGTCATCATGCATCGAGCACTACCAGCACAGGTTCAGCTTCGACTCGCACGACCCCGCCGTCTTCGCCGCATCCACCGTCACCAAGCTCATCGAGCACTATAAGGTACTGTCGTCATCATGCATCGAGCACTACCAGCACAGGTTCAGCTTCGACTCGCACGACCCCGCCGTCTTCGCCGCATCCACCGTCACCAAGCTCATCGAGCACTATAAGGTACTGTCGTCATCATGCATCGAGCACTACCAGCACAGGTTCAGCTTCGACTAGCAAAAACAAGCTATTTAATTAGCTAAAAGATATGTAATGATATATTAAATTGATAAAATGTATTTTTTTTAAGTTATAGTTCGGCAAACGTGTGAGACGGATTACCTGATGATAAGCAATCACGTCGCCCATGGACATTCGCAGCGGAAAAGTTGCGCTGCCAACCTTTTAGGGATTAGGGATTGGAGAGGGATCGGCCTCACAAAAAAATGGCGTGAAACAACCACAGCGTTGTGTTTCGCCGTGTGAGTGAAGTTACCGGAGGCCTAATCCTTCCCCTCCCTAATCCCTAAATCTCCAGAACCCTAATCCCCAAAAGTTCAGCAACGTACTCGTAACTCTTCCGCTGCGGGTGTCCATAAGCGGCGCTGATTGCTTACCATTAGGTAATCGGGCTGCTCGTATGCCTTCAAAAAATATATATTGTATGAACCCAACAACATATGTATCTCATATCATAATTGTGCAAGAAATATAAAATTAATAAAGTATTGTGATGCACCCAGGACCCGGCGTGCGTGATGTTCTTCGAGCCGATGCTGACGGCGCCCCTGCCCCGCAGCGAGCCATTCTCTCTGCAGCAACTCGCGCGGGCCGTCATCGTCTCCCACACTAGCTACGACGGTACGTATCTTCTTTCTGCACGCTGCTCGGCTCCATTTGATCGTAGCGTAATGTTATAGCCTATAGCATTCAGGAACATTTTAGCTATCTATCAGTGAAATAATTTTGCCAATCCGACCAGCGGTTCCAAAGATTTACCCCCTACATACAAAATTACAAATTTTACCTCTTTATAATATTAGTATAGATTAAACTTATAAGTGCCCACTGTTGAGCAAACGCCTCTTCTTACTCGGAGAAGGTTTGAGCGTTAATCACCACGCTTGCTCAAGGCGGATTGGCGGTTTCGAACTTATAATCAGAAATTATAAGTCTAATTTTCCTGACGATGTTTTCTTTCACCGTATGTCAGTCAGTGGTTTAAATAACTATAATACATATATTTGACTGCACCCTTGGTGCGGTGGCTGGGCAACTGGCTGCCGTGCAACGTGTCGCGGGTTCGATTCCCGCACCAGACAACACTTTGTGTGATCTATATCATCTATTGTGTGTTGGTCCGTGTCTGCGTGTGATGTGTATGTGAAATTGTATGTTTGTAAACCTACCCACAACACAGGAGATAATCCAAGTCCAAATCTCATTGCATCTTATAGTTTTTCTAGTCCAAACTAATATTATAAATGCGAAAGTCACTCTGTCTGTCTGTCTTTTCTTCACGCCTCAACTACTGAACCGATTTCAATGAAATTTGCTATAGACTATAGAGAAAGGACATAGGACAGTTTTTATACCTAAAATCTGCAGAAAGTCACTAGGTATTCTAAAAGCTAGAAACCATATATTTTGTTAAATGTAAATAATCGATCGAAATTTATTAACTTTAAGTAGTCATTATTAATAAATCAATACACATATTGGTGAATGTTATAAATAAAAGTAAAATGTACCTCCTCCTACAGGAGTGGAGAAGCTGCCCCTCCCGCCTCGCCTCCGGCTGTACCTAAAAGAGTACCACTACCGACAGAGGGTCCGCATCCGACGCCTGGAACCTGACCTCTACGAGCAGCATCACTGCTAGCACCCAGCTTAATGTCTCACGCCGCAACGTTATACCACGCCCCGGATTCTAACACAAGTAAAATGTCACAAATTTGAGTGGACCATAGTTGCCCGAAAACGGTAGTTTCCAACTAGTCAAATTCAATACTTTTATCCGAATGTCAAAAACGATACTTTTCTATGAAATTTGTATGAAAAACTGAGTCATGACGTTATAGTGTTTTTGCGTCAAATAGCTTACTTATTTCTTGAAAAATTAGCTACAAAAAAATATGGAAAATTTTCTGTATCGATCGATCGATGAATAAAAGTATGTATAGATATTTTTTCTTTCAATATTTTATTGTATTGAAACGTCGAATTAATTTATTTTTGACCTAGGAAACTACCCAATTGAACAAGTATTACTCTAAAACCCAAGTTGAAATGATACAAAATTGACCTCTTGAAATATGACTAGAGAAAGCTATACATGTCGCCACCCATTTTGAACCTAATCGCCATTGGAATAAGTGTCATACGTTTACACCTTCCATGAAGTGGCATTTTTACAAAAGTGACGAGTTAAGTTCGATTGAAATAACAGTTTTATTTAAATTACTATAAAAATATATATAAAGGAGATAAAATGAGAAATTACTACCGAGTTTAGAAGTCTGCCTAGTACCTAACGGCTTACCCGCGTATTTTTTTTTGTCATGGAAAAGTCATCAAATGACTTCTCCCGCCCGGGGTAAGGCGAGAGAGTGTCAGACTCTTACTGACTAAAAACCCCCCCGTTCCTTCTCCTGCTCTGGGCCGAGGTCGCGGTGACTCATTGCGCTTACCCCGCAACCCCGGTACCCGCGTATCTGTGCGATGTTACAATTCAAGTATTTACAGTAATCTTGTTGGTCCCCATCATCATCATCATCATCAGCCTATAAGTGCCCACTGTTGAGCAAAGGCCTCTTCTCACACGGAGAAGGTTTGAGCATTAACTACCACGGTACTTCAAGGCGGATTGGTGATTTCAAACTTATGATTAGAAATTATAAGTCTAGGGCCATCACGATGTTTACCTTCACCGTATGTCAGTAGTGTCTAAATAATCATAGAAAGTACATATAACTCGGTAAAAGTCACATTGGTACTTGCCAGGTTTCGAAACCTCATACTTGATAAGCGTGCGCCTGATACCATGACATAACGGTTGGTCTGCATAATCCATAATTATGATCAAAATCATTCTGACTAACGCTACTGGAGACCCAATCCTTATCCTTCCCTCATCCCTAAATCTCCATAACTCACAATTCCACTGGTGTTGTGAGTGTCTATGGGCGGCGCCGATTGCTTACCATCAGGTAATCCGAATATTCGTTTGTCTCACACATAAAATATGGACCCTTGAAGTGGCTCGTAACTGATCGGGTTACTACGCCATACAACACTAGGTACTTTAAAAAGTTATTTAAAAAAACAGTTTGTTATTTCAATCGAAGGTTTTATAAAATTAAAATGTCTTTAATTGCATCTCAACCGAGCAATGGACTCGGTACAAAACGGATTTGATGGTTACACGCCCCCTATAGGGGTAGCGTCTACTGTTTAGTAGTGAAATGTTAAACTAAATAATAAATGCCTTGTTATATTTAAAATGTAATGTTTTAAAGAATAATAATTAATGTGTCGGCCGACATTTTATTAGCGGACAAAAGCTTGGCGCCAAAATAATTATAAAAAATAAAGTTATGTTTTGAACTCATTCACTTAACTTTTTCGTCATAAAATTTAGTTCAAAATTTGTCTTCATATGTCCCTCCCTCCCTTATAAAAGTATCGTTCACTGAGTTGTGCTTCGCTAATAAAATGTCGTCTAATATATTTAATATATAAATATGTAAAATTAGAGAAAAAATGTATATTTTTTGGTATAACGCAAAAGTTTTTTATATTCATAAATTCACTTGTCAATCAATGTTATTTCATTTTTATCTGTACCTACTTAAATATGCTTTTTTGTTACAAAACACTAGTAGATCCCAATATTATAATATAGAAATTAAATAGTTCTTGTGACTGTCATATGCTGGGTATAACCTGGGTGTCTTCAAGGCCCGAGTAAATAGGTTGATTATGGGTAGTCGTGCTCCATCGTAGGTCGCATCATTGCTTGCCATCAGGCGTGATAGTGGTCATATGTGACAAGGAAATGAGTCTCTTGACGATTTTGGTAATATTCTGTGCTACATTAAATTTAGTTTTTTTTACCAAAAGTTAATTTAGTTCATTTTAGACTTTATCTCTTAGCCTGGTTGGAAATGTGAACTTCCTCTATAGGTGAGTTTAACACACCTATACACCCCTTTTTTTGTCAGGTTAAATTCATCATTTCTTCTCCCGCCCAGGGTAAGGCGAGAGAGAGTGTCCTCTTACTTACTAAAAACCCCCCCCCGTTCCTTCTCCTGCTCTGGGCTGAGGTCGCGGTGACTCATTGCGCTTACCCCGCAACCCCGGCTGAACATCAGCCCTATAGGGCCCCGTCTGTGGTGGTCTATTGGCTCTTTGAGGCTCTCGCGGAACGGGTCTGGTTCTTACTCGACGTCCGCAGACCCGCGAATACGGTGGCCGGAGATCATCTCTCGACCTATACACCCCTGCCTACCCCATCGTGAGGTGCAGGGTTGAAATGAAATAACATTTCTACCGTAATCTGCTGCCTCGTATATTTGCCATTCATTTTGTAATCCCCAAAAGGTGGGAAACGCATCCGTAACTCTTCTGTTTTTAGGGGTGTCCATGGGCGGCGCTGAGTGCTTACCATCAGGTAATCCGTATGCTCGATTGTCGACTTATCAAATAAAAAAAATGAATTTAATTAATTTTTGACCCTACCCCCGTCCTTGTCACAGGTGGGTCATAATTTAGACGTCACAAGTTTTGCAATTTTACATCGAAAAATCAGATAAAATCACGTGAGGTCCGGTTCGTTTGGCGCCATTCGTCAACAAAATCAATTTAAACAGTGTTGGCCTAAACATAGAGTCGTCATTTTGAAATGTGACGTCACAAAACTTGGCCAAAATCCACCCCTTGTCACACCATGTCACACATTGTCGGCCCCTCCCAACCCCATTTACGTGTGACGTACTTCACTGACGACCCCTTATCGCCGCAGGTAGGTTGGAGATGAGTAAGTCTCTGTTTATATGTATGTACAATCCCATAGTATATAGGGGTATGGGACACCCGCCGTGGCCGCCATCATCTATAATACATACGCGCGTAATATTGTCATTACAAGTTAAAAACTCGGTTATATTTAGTTTTTTTTTATAATAATTATTTATAAATCATGTTTTTCTACTTATAGTATTTTGATATTAATATTGTATTTGTAGACCTACACACGGACAGACACATTTTATATTGCTCATTGATTATTCTGTTTAACACGAATGAAATTATGAAATGTATATATATTTTTATTCGGTTATATATTTGTATATAAATCTTGCAACGCACGTACAATATTAATATCGGAATGTTGTAATTATAATTATAATTATTATAATTGTATTAATTACTGTACATTGTTAATTAAATCCTGTGTAATATAGATTATATAAATAATTATAATACAATTTATATTTAAGTTTATCGACGCGGCAATCAGTGTGAGCGATGAAGTAAAATTATATTCACAACAGAATCTATTCATCTATAATATAAAAAAGTAATCGCTAAATGCGTTTTGTTTGTTAGCGCAATTCTCGAAAACTGCTGAATCTTATTTTGTATTTGTGGATGACCCAGTGATTCGTTGATATATCTACTAGTATAATATACTAGCTAATCTCGCGCGGTTTCACCAGCTTCTCGGCTCCATTTAATCGTAGCGTGATGTTTTATAGCCTATAGCACTCAGGAATATTTTAGCTATCTATCAGTGAAAGAATTTTGGCAATCCGACCAGCGGTTCCAAAGATTACCCGCTACATACAAACTTACAAATTTTACCTCTTTATAATATTAGTATAGAAGTACAGATAGTATCTATACTATCTTGAATATAATAATATAATATCTCTCAAATAAATCTAAATTACTCCATGTAAAACAGTTTCTTATACTGAAAGAATCATCAAAATCGGTTCAGTAGTTTCGGAGTTTGTTCAATACAATCAAGTAAACAGAATCGTATATCAGTCCGCACAGATTGCCTCGCCATTTATAAGTTACGACAAAATGTATTATTAGCACTCTGTGCGTACAAAGATAATGAAATATAAAATAAATATATTTTAAAATACATTTGCTTTCGTTTTCTTTCTAGAAGGTTTCATATTTTCGACCAATTGGGCCCTTCCTGACCCCTTTCTATCTATCTTCAATTTTTTTTTTGGATTTGTTGGCAAACGAGCAGACACATAACCTGATGGTAAGCGATCAGCGCCGCCCATGGACGTCCGCAACACCAGAGGAGTCACAGGTGCGCTGCCGGCCTTTTAAGAAGGAATATGCTCGTTTCTTGAAGGTCGTAGCGGTTCGGGAATACCGCCGCCGGAAGATCCTTCCACATTTTTGCTGTGCGGGGCAGAAAGTGTCGGGTGAATCGCACAGTTGTTGACTGCCAACCATCTATGTTATGGGGATGAAAAAGTTTTCGCGTGGTACGATGGCGAAAAGATGCGGCGGGGATCAAACCAATTCCTTAATGAGCGCACTTGCAATGTTGTTATCCATGGGCGACGTCGATTGCCCACCGTGGGACTGCAGACTACACGGTTCACCCCGGTCGAGACGAAGTATTAGTGCTAAAGCATGATTTACCTACACTTAGTTCAAAAATAGCAAAACAAGTAATAATAGACTAGGAAAACCGTAGAGGAGAAGATTGAATAAAAAATAAAACTCAAAACACATATCAATAACTGACTATATTTGGAATAAGAACCACCTCACGAACACAGCTACACAGTTAGACACACATACAGATTACATATTACATTTATATTCTTTTGGAAAAAGAGAGATGTCGATCAACGCTGACTCTCTCTATACCTACAGGAATTAAAGTGTCATGTTACTTTGTATTAGGCAAAAAAAGGCACTGTACAAAAAATATAGATTTTTTTACGTACCTAGACGATCTTTTTTTTTCTAAGTCAAAACTAAACCATAAATATGTACTTTTGAAACGTCAAAATAGAATAGTAGTCTGTCAGTTCGTCAGTGAAGCTAGGTGCTCGTTCCAAATTATAGATTCGAATGGAGAAGAACGAGCAAGAAACTCCATCGTAACTCTTTTTTAAAATATTTTTTTTACAATTTCACTAATACACTATTTCATATTATTGTACCCATAATATGTGAGATCAATGTAAATACCAAATTGTTAAAAAAAGAACAACGATGGGATCAATAATTCATCTCTATAGGAATCTACACTTTGAAACGAGCAAATAGCTTCACTAGAGGACAGACGGACAGACTGACACGCATAAAGTAAAATTTTCTGAAATTATTTTTTTGCTTGACGTTCAAAACGGCTTGTCTATTTCAATAAAAAAAGGACTGACTTTCCCTTTCCTTTCCTTTGTGAAAAAAACACAAGAGGAACTGATTGACAGTTCCTCTTGTGTTTTTTTATGGTATTAGTCTGCAAACGAGTAGACGGATTACCTGATGGTAAGCAAAGGGCGCCGCCCATGGACACCAGCAACATCAAAGGAGTTATAAGCGCGTTGCCGGCCTTTTGGGGTTGGGGGTTGATATAAGGATCAGGGAGGGATAGGCGAGGGGAAGGGATTGGGTTTCCGGTAACCTCACTCACACGGCGAAACACAACGCTGTGGCTGTTTCACGCCGGTATTCTGTGAGGCCGTGGTATCACTCCAATCGAGCCAACCCATTCGTGCCGAAGCATGGCTTTCCCACACTTAAAATCTATTTATTGTACGACTTAGGATCTGATTTCAATCCCGCGGGGCAACCGCTAATGTACCGGATCCCCGAATAAAACACTACGCTAGACAGATTCTGGTCAGCAGCGCTCTCTGATAGACCTGGACCTTTTAAACTGCGATCGCCTACCAGTCTGGAGATGAGGACAAACCCCTCGTATGTAGAGGAGGCACATACTCCAGGAATATTATTTTCAAAGACTACATGAACCTCTACTGAGGATACATTCAAATTTTATTTCTATACTAACTATTGTGAGACAATAAATTTGACTCCGTTTGCGCGAAATAGTGGCTTCCTGCTGATTTTTGGTATAAAAAAATTACCCTATGTCCTTTCTCGAGTTCCAAACTATGTCTGCACCAAATTTCACAGAAATCTGTTCAGTAGTTTAGGCGTGATGAAAAGACAGACAGACGGAGTTACTTTCGCATTTATAATATTAATTTGGATGATAGTAAGAAAATAAATAAAAACTCAAAACAGAGAAAAAGCTATTGTTATCATCATCATCAGCCTATAAGTGCACACTGCTGAGCAAAGGCCTCTTCTTACACGGAGAAGCTTTGAACAACACCATTGATTGGCGAATTCAAACTGACTGATGGGCGCGGTGGCTGGGCAACTGCTGCCGGCTGCCGTACAACATGACGCGGGGTCAATTCCCGCACGGAACAACTCTTTGTGTGATCAACAAATTGAAATTGTATGTTTGTAACTGCACTCACGACACAGGAGAAAATCCTAATGGGGAGCCACATTATAAAAAAAACAGTTTATCGGGAACTTGTGTCAATATAAAAGAGGCGCTTAGGATTATAAATACATATTTTATTTTATTAAACAAATGCATTTTTTAACATCATAAATAACAGTTTCAAACAGGCATCCTGGAAAACCTAGGCTCAATCTAAACCTAAAAATGATATGTAAGCATAAAGGATGTTTTCAAAGCCGTTATTTTCAAAATTAAACTAAACCCCACAAATATATTGCATTAAGTTAAAAAATATCTGAATAAACATGTATTTTTATTTATCACACACCCTGTATATGACTTTAACAGTTTTAAAAACATCCTGTATACGGAAAAATAACATGGAAAACACTACTTGAGTAACATAGTTCCTTATCATTAAGATGTTACTCGAAAATAGCCTTTATAACAAAGGCATACAGCTTTAAATCTTCCAATCACTAAGCAAGGGTTTTGGTTTACGACTATCTCTTTCCTTCGTTGAAGCAAGACAGAGATAGCAATATACCTATAAAGATTACCAGAAAAGGCCCAAAATCAATGTTAAAATAAAAATCAACTTCATTTTATAGGTTTTACAGTTCATAATAATTATGGTAGCTTTTTAAGTACGCGTGACACTGGACAGTGAACCTCGCTACCATCAGTTGACTGGACATCTACACTACACGAGTCACTGTTTACATGTGAACATTAGCTCATGGCGATACCAGCGTCCGTGTCACTGGACAGTGAACCTCGCTACCATCAGTTGACTGGACATCTACACTACACGAGTCACTGTTTACATGTGACCATTAGCTCATGGCGATACCAGCGTCCGTGTCACTGGACAGTGAACCTCGCTACCATCAGTTGACTGGACATCTACACTACACGAGTCACTGTTTATACGTGAACATTAGCTCATGACAATACCAGTACTTCTCTACCGCATAAACAAATTTGGTATAATTTATTTTGGCATAATCACAACATAGTATAAAACAAAGTCGCTATGTACGCTTAAATCTTTAAAACTAAGCAACAGATTTTGATGCGGTTTTTTTACATACATAGAGTGATTGAAGAGAGGAAGGTTTATATGTTTAACTTGCTTTCGCCAGCGGCTTCACCCGCGTGGTGTGTTGATAAAAAGCGGCCTATAGCGATAGAACAAAATCGAAGTATACATAAAATTTGTTATTAATCGTCTCACTTTAATGGGTACATCTCGAATGGGTAAATACCCTATTACGAGTACTGACTAAGTCTCCGCTATCCGTCCGTCCATAAATAGAATGGTACGGATCTAACTAATAGGTAAGTATTACAAATATTTCATACATAATTTCTATGTTACTTTAACCATTAAGGCTACACACGCGACGGAAACTTAAAAAAGGGAGTAACACCTCCCCTTTTCCCAACATTTTCCTTCACTGCTCTGCTCCTATAATTTGTAGCGTGATGAAAAGTATCCTATAACCTGCCCAGGAGTATAAAGAATAGTTGTACCAAGTTTTGTTAAAATCTGTCGAGAAGTTTTTGTTTCTATAAGAAACATACAGACAGACAGACAAAAATTTTACTGATTTCATTTTGGCATCAGTATCGATCACTTATCACCCCCTGGTAGTTATTTTGAAAATATATTTAATGTACAGAATTGACCTCTCTACAGATTTATTATAAGTATAGATAACATTTAATAAATAGCGGAGAAATTTAGTATCAATTGCACCCGAGCGAAGCCGAGTTGTCAATAAATTGAATGTTTTCGAAACGAAATGACTATGCCAAAACAAATTATACCAAAAAATTACACACAAACTCACAGAACATTCTAGAACCAGTTGACCGGACTATTTACAACTAAACTAGCTAAATATTTTATGTATAATATATATGCTGTGTCTGGATCACTTGGCGACTCCTACAAGGGCTGGTCTTACGCATCTCTCGTGGAGTTTGTAACCCACTTTGCTCACTGCTACTACCGTACCTGGTTCAGCGCCTTCCACCTCCTATTGGGGATATAATTTTGTCAATTAGTATTGATTTTGAGAGAGACAGCTTATGTATTAATACAATGTAGGCAAGTACCAATGTGACTTTTTCCGAGTTATATTGTACTTTCTACGATTATTATTTTTATGTAATAAGTCGGCAAACGAGCAGACGGATTACCTGATGGTAAGCAATCAGCGCCGCCCATGGACACCCGCAACGGAGGAGTTACGAGTGCGTTGCCGACCTTTTAGGGATTAGGGATTTAGAGATTTAGGGATTGGGGAAGGGTCCGGGAAGGGGAAGGATTGGGCCTCCGGTAACCTCACTCACACGGCGAAACACACCGCTGTGGTTGTTTCACGCCGGTTTTCTGTGAGGCCGTGGTATCACTCCGGTCGAACTGACCCATTCGTGCCGAAGCATGGCTCTCCCACACTAATGTCGCGCGGTTTCACCCGCTTCTAGGCTCCATTTAATCGTAGCGTGATGTTTAAAGCACACAGGAACATTGTAGCTATCTATCAGTGAAAGAATTTTGGCAATTCGACCAGCGGTTCCAAAGATTGCCCCCTACATACAAACTTACAAATTTTACCTCTTTATTATATTAGTATAGACATATAACTCGGAAAGTCACATTGGTACTTGCCAGGTTTGGAAACCGCATCCTCAAACATGAGAAGCAGGTCTTAACCTAAGGTACACAATGACAAAAAGTGCCCTAAGTAGCGAATTCTCTTATGGAAATTCGAAATTTTATAGTACACTCAGCTGCAGAGAAAAGGATTCCCTATACATATTTGTACTTTAGAGGGGTCCATTTCCCCGAGCGTAAGGCGCGTAGCGTTCCTCGCGCGCCTCAAAGAGCCAATAGACCACCACAGACGGGGCCCTATAATAGGGCTGATGTTCAGCCGGGGTGGAGGGGTAAGCGCAATTAGGCACCGCGACCTCGGCCCAGAGCAGGAGAAGGAACAGGGGGGTTTTTAGTCAGTAAGAGTCTGACACTCCCTCTCGCCCGGCCCAGCGGGAGAAGTCATTGGATGATTTTCCCCTGACAAAAAAAAAAAGCGGGGTCCATTTCTCTGCAGCTGACCGTACTACTCTTGGCTCGGCTGCTTGTTGAATTTGAACTTTCAATGAAGGTTATATTTACCTGTTGGAACAGAGCTTCGTGTAGATTGGGGTCGAACTTCTCCCTCAGCGGAGATACTGACACCAGCCCGTGTCTACTGAACACCTGGAAATATAATTATTAAAGATATTAATTTATGTGAATCATTGATATACGGGGCTGGTTTAACCGGAGTGAGAGTTGGCAGAATTAAGCATTTTTAGAGGGTAAGAAGGGCTAGACGGGGAAAAGTTTACTACTCTTTTTCATCTCTCTCTCCCTCCCTCTTTTCTATCTCTGTCTCTCTCTTTCTCTCCCTCTCTCATTTTCTCTCTACCTCACACAACAACATCTCTCAACTAATTTTCGTACCATCTTTCTAGTTCGCATTGAAAAGTATGGTTTGCAACGAGTTCTTGCTCGTTCTTCTCCATAGGAATCTACAGTCTTTGGAACGAGCAAATAGCTTCTATTAAGAGGACTGACCTACAGACTGACATTTTTATCTTTAAGCTTTGTTTGACGGTCAAAAGTGCTCGTAGGGGTCTAATTGAAATCAATGATCTTTGAGTGCCCGTGCCACCGCCAATGAGATCTTTGAGTGAGCATGACAACTCCATCGACTGTATCCGATATCTTAAATTGTGGATGACTTTACTATGTCTGTGGAAGAGTGCGTAAGCTGTAAGTTACCTGTGTGAGCTGTGCCCTGGTGAGTCGTACTCCGTCGTGGAGGGAGCGGAGGGCGGCGGCAGCGCCCGCCTCTGTACCGGCGGCGCCGCCCTCCGACACCTCGCTCTCTGGGACACTCTCCGCTGCCGCTGCCAGCGTGTCGGCTACCTGATAATACATACATAATGCTGTTTATTTGAAAAACAATACGTACATATCTTTTTCTTACTACTACACACAACAGAAATAACGCTAAATAATGGGTTTATAGTGACGTCATACAGACATCATTTTAAATCCATAAAAATGTCTCTTCCCAATCCCCAAAAGGCCGGCAAAGCACTCTTCACTACTTTGGTGTTGTCCCTCCGTGGGCGGCGTCCGGAGTGATACCACGACCTCAGAATAATGATGTGAAACAACCACAGCGTTGTGTTTCGCCGTGTGAGTGTAAGGTCTGTCGGAGATCCCAATCTTTCCCAAATCCCTAATCCCCGAAAGGTCGGTAACGTACTCGTAACTCTTCTGCCGTTGCGGGTGTCCATGGGCGTCGCTGATTGCTTACCATCAGGTAATCCGTTAGCCGACCTATCATATAAAAAAACTACCAAACTGGTACAAAATCTTCAGAAGAAACCAAAACTTATTTCTATATGGATTTTAACTAGTACATCCCCACTATAAAACCAGAAGTCTCTCTAACACCGGAGGCCCAATCCCTCCCCTTCCCCTATCCCTTCCCAATCCTTATATCCGCAACCCCTATCCCCAAAAGGCCGGCAACGCACTCGTAACTCCTTTGGTGTCGCGGGTGTCCATGGGCGGCGCCGATTGCTTACCATTGGGCAATCCGTCTGCTCGTTTGCCGACATACCCCATAAAAAAAAAAGAAAAAAAAACTTACATCGAGCAGGTCCTTGCAGAAGCTCTGTATGGCAAAGGACTTGGCGTCTTCGACCTGCTTCATCATGCGGCGCCTGACATTCTCTCCGTCAGCTAGTGCACGCTTGTATTTATCCTGAAATCCAGTAATTTCAACTCAGTCAAAAAATGTAAAAAAAACTAGATTTTTTTACGAATCTATACTAATATTTAATATTATAAAGCTGAAGAGTTTGTTTGTTTGTTTGAACGCGTTAATCTCCGGAACTACTGATTTGAATTGAATGAATCTTTTTGCATTTGTTAGTCCATTTATCAAGGAAGGCTATAAAACATCACGCTACAATCTGTAGGAGCCGAGCAGCGAGTGAATCCGCGCGAGAGTACTTAGTACATACTTTCCATAATTTTCTTTAACATATATACAGGGTGTTACTTTGAACAAGGGTCATACGTCATTCAAGGACCCGATTCCGGTGCTCAAACCAAGAACCTTTTACCATGGGAACAATATCAAAATCTGAAAAAAGCTAAATACTAATTGCAACATCTAATTGATCATTTTGTATGGACAAATATATATTTTTTATGTGGTATGTCGGCAAACGAGCTTACGGATTAGCTGATGGTAAGCAATCAGCGCCGCCCATTGACACCCGCAATGACGGAGGAGTAACGAGTGTGTTGCCAACCTTTTAGTGATTAGGGATTTGGAGATTTTGGAACTTAGAAGGGATTCGGGGAGGGGAAGGATTGGGCCTCCGGGAACGTCACTCACACGGCGAAACACAACGTTGTGGTTGTTTCACGCCAGTTTTCTGTGAGGCCGTGGTATCACTCCGAGCCGACCCATTCGTGCTGGAGCATGGCTCTCCCACACTTAAAACTTTTTTTTGTTGAGATTTCCATATTGGTCTTGTATAGTCTGTATATGTCTTGTATAATTTGCCATTATCTGACCATTATAACGCTTCAGAAATAAAAGGACTATTTCCGAGTTATATGTACTTTCTATGATTATTTAGACAACACTGACATATGGTGAAGGTAAACATCGTGAGGAAACCTGGACTTACACATAATTTCTAATTATAAGTTTAAAATTGCCAACCCGCATGGAGAGAGTGTGGTGGTTAATGCTCAAACCTTCTCCATATGAGAAGAGGCCTTTGCTCAGCAGTGGGCACTTATAGGCTGATAATGGTTAAAGAAACTCACTTCGTAATCTCTGGCCTGATTCCGTAGTGTGTTGAGGTCATTGGTGAGAGTCTCAATCTGCTTGTGGCACTCCTCGATGGAGCCGGGCAGCTTGCTCTCTGCCTCCGGCTCTGCTTTGCTTTTCTCTTCTGTACTGTAACCTCGGACTGTGCTTCTGGAAGTCAAATGTTTTTTTATTAATTTCCGCAAGTAGATTAGAGCTTAGTCTGGACTACCAATGTGAAAAGTAGCCTATAGGGTATTCTAGAGATGTTTTTTGCAAATTAGCCATCAGATTACCTGATGGTAAGCAATCAGCACTGTTCATCACTGATAATAACAGGGGAGTTAGGAGAGGATTGGGCCTCTGGTAATGTCACTCACATGGCGAAACACAATGCTGTAGTTGTTTCACGCCAATCTGTGAGGCCATGGTATCACTCTGGTCGAGCCAACCAATTTGTGATGAAGCATGACTCTCCCAATCTTTAAATAATTATTTCTGTGCCATATTTCAAACAAATCCATCCACAAGTTTACTCTTTCATATACACTTTTACATAATAAAAGATACATACAGACTTTTGTGTTTATAATATTAGTAAGATTGGTCACAATTAAGCTAGTAGTCTGCCTAATGGTAAATAGAAACCAGAGCCTATGTACAGCCGCAACACCAGAGGTGCTACATAATGTGTTATAAATCATGTAGATATTAGTTAATTTAGACCAAGCTGCTTGCGGTGGTAAGTTTTTTCAAAACAGTTATGTGATCAATAAAGCTCTTGTGATAGCCAATAAATTAGTATTTATTCAAACTATTCGCTTGTTCCAAAGTGAAGATTTCTATAGAGAAAAACCAGCAAGAAACTCCTTAAAAATTGTCCATTTCTTCATCATATTGATAGATTAGCAGTTTAGAAGAATTTTAAATAGTTGTCATTAAAATAATTTATTGTTTAATATTTAATTGTGTGTTTTTGAATGGTTTTACAAAAGTTTAAGATGTCTACTAAGTGTTATCTTTCTAGATAAGCATGTGGGAGAGTTTGCACTTTGAACATATGAATTTACTGAGTGAAAATTAAATTCTGAGTAATGTTTTAACCCATAGAAATGCTAGTGACATGCAAAATTTTACTCGTAAAATCAAGTAATTGATGAACTAAGTTTACAATGTTATAAATGGGATTTTTATTAATTTTAAGATGGTTTAAAGGAAGAATTGTGTAATAGAGATTTAGAAATTATGGTCTACAACAAGATAATAGCAGATTCCAGTAAGAATAGATGAATAAACGCCTTTGAAACGACTCCAGCAAATATTACATCAGCTAACAAATAAATGCGTAAACTTCATATGCTTTGCAAAAATAAAACAAACAAACTTCAATTCTGCTGTCTATTACTAATTTTGACATTTTCATTCATTAATTTTTCCAAAATTTGAAAATCATTTTTGTTCCTAACCTCAAAATTGATTGCGCAATTTTACCTGTATACATTAGCACGGAGCGTCCTCAGTGTTGGTCCAGAAATATATTTCGCTAGTTTACCCACTGAATACACATTTAACGAAGCCATTGCAATTTGTATTAAGTAATTATTTATAATAATTTCTAAAATAAATTCTAATAAAAAGAGGTTAGGCTACAACTCTGAATTCTTTATCTGTCAAGTTTTTTTTTAATTCCTCTTATGGTGACAGATCTTCAAGTTGATAACAAATGAGTTTGGATATCATGATATCATTTAGAATGGGAGATCCAAAGTCTATTTCTAAAAGATAGATTTTTTTAACAACTTCAAAATTAAATAATAAAATGCAATGCACACTGAAAATAATTTACATTATTAATGTGTTCTAACTATATTTTTTTGAAATGATACGGCTTCAATTAAATTTATTTACATTGAGTAGAATTCTGACAAAATATTTAATTTCGTAGCGATTGCCTTAAAGAACTGCAATAAATACCATCTACAAAGCAAAAATCACAAAACTTCCATTGAATGTATCCGAATTACAAAGTCAAGGTCATGTCAAACTTGAATCAATACGTCAACTCAGCTGTTATCTGTCAAAATTTACAAGTATTTTGTGTCTTTACGAAAAGCACGCCGATCATGATTGCATCACCTACGATTCCACTATCCCATGTTTCTGTTTCCGTTGACGTCATAAAGCGTGTCTCTCATACACGAGACATTGCTTAGAACTCTGTAAAAATTGAGAATTGTATCAATCAGTGTGTTTCGGGCGGCGGTCGAGTGCGCGCGTAAAATTCAAACATGGCGAATTCGTGTTTGGCCGTATTTGATTTCGATCGTACTATTGTTGACGATGATTCGGACGCGACTATAATAAATAGATTGAGGGAAAAGAAGCCGCCGCCTGAGTGGGAAGCTGGGAACCACGATTGGACTCCATACATGAGTGATGTAAGGACTTTTTTTAACATTCGCACTTTTTTGTCGCCTTTGCACCAAGCTTTATGATGTTTAGTTTTAAAAAAAGTTGTGTAGAGTAGTCTATGCAAGTTTATTACTTTTTTATTTATTTGAATAAATAAAATTATTTTTATTTACCCGTAACTAAGAGGAATGTTACAAAATTTTATATTCTTCGATTTCTCAAGAAGTTGTGTGATCAGTGATAGATAGTTGGCACCAGTTTATTTGTTGATATTGGCACTGTTGATAAGGAAGAAAATCTTCAAATAGCCGGATCTTTCTGATGTAAAGTGGGACTAGCGAAGACGAATGAATTTTGGAAATAAAATTATTCAAGAGAAGGTTAACATGCATTCTACTAAAAGCGTCAAGATGCAAAATGTCAAACTTCAAAAGAATGAAAACCATGGAACTCATAAGACATTTTCTATTTCTCGGATAAAATTTTATCTCGCATAAAAAGCGTGCCAAAAGTATATGAGCTTCTTCGTCTAACCACACTTTTGATATCACGGCCTCACAGAAAACCGACATGAAACAACCACAGCGATGTGTTTCGCCGTATTTCCCCCAATCCCAAAATCTGCAAATGCCTAATACCCAAAAGGTCGGCAACGCACTCGTAACTCCTACGCTGTTGTTGTCCATGGGCGGCGCTAATTTTCACCATCAGGTTAATCGACTGCTCGTTTGCTGATCTATCCACATAAAAAAACAACACTTATGGTTTACGATTGGGAAAAGCCAATTTGCGTTATTGGACAAACACTGCCCTACTTACAATAAAATTACTTACTAAGATTTTGACGTTTTGTCAGTAAGAGTCTGACACTCCCTCTCGCCCCATTTAGAGCGGGAAAAGTAACTTGATGGTTTTTCTCGGTTGAAATTAAACTTTTAAGGGCCGAAAGAATAATTTATAGTAGTAATTTCCCACTAATTGCTAAATCATTTTTATAAAGTTTAAAATAATACTGTTGCATTCGGAAGTTTTTGACCAATAAAACTATTTTATTTGATGTCCCGCGTTCAGTAATCACATCATTACATCGGGAGCCTATAAGGGCTCACAGCTAAACAAAGGCCTCTTCTCACGCAGAGAAGGTTTGACCATTAATCAAAAACTTATAATTAGAGATTATAAGTCTAAGTTTCCTCACGATGTTATCACCGTCACCGTATATCAGTAACTCGGAAAAGTCACATTGTACACAAGTCCTCATGCATGAGAAAATGGCGCCAAAAAAGAGTTAAAATCATTTATTTCAAATAGACCACAATAGGCAGTTTTGAACGCCAAGCAAAAAAGAAGAAAAAAATAGATTTCAAAACGTTTAACTTTATGCTTGTCAGTCTGTCCGTCTGTCCTCTAGTGAAACTATTTGCTCGTTCCAAAGTGTAGATTCCTATGGAGAAGAACGAGCAAGAAACTCCATGGTTACTCTTTTTCAATCAGTTTTACAATTACTTTCTTTGTTACATGCCTACACGCCTTAATCTTTAAGTTACCAAAACGTTAATCGAGTTCCAGTTCACTTCAGTAATATGACTTTACAAATCGTGTGCTGAATAGAAAAGAGGTCTTACTCAAAAATAAGGTATTCGAATCTTAAAAACTATGTTTCAATAATGAAGTTCCGTTTTGTAATACCCTCTTCTATGACTTACACCCGGTTTCCGAAATACCGTTCAATGTTAAAATCAATTTAATCTCTTGTCCAGTCATCTGATTGGTTGACTGAATTATCAACAACCAATCAGGTGACTTGACAAGAGATTTAACAGGAGATTAGAGAATTTTAGCGTTGACAAGCCTTTCAGAAACCGGGTGTTATTTCTGTTTTCTATTAATAATGCGAATTTCTGAGTTATTTTTATTGGGAAATTTGTCCAGGACCATTTTGGCAAGCTATGTACGAGAAGACGGAGGAGTAGAATGGATTTGTAATCAATCTTTTCGAGAATGTAGAAGACAAAATTGATACTAGTCAGCAACACTGTTTTGTGTTTCGGATGCAAGCATTAATGTACATATTGCAGCCCCCGTTTCGAGCAGGAGAAGGAACGGGAATGTTTTTAGTCTTAAAGAGTCTAACACCTCTTCTCGACCCACCAAAAGGACTTTTTTTATGGTATTAGTCGGCAAACGAGCAGACGGATTACCTGATGTAAGCAATCAGCGCCGCCCGTGGATACTCGCAACAGAGGAGTTATGAGTGCGCTGCCGACCCTTTGGGGATTAGGGATTTGGAGATTTAGGGATTAGAGAGTCATTGAGGGAGGTCAAGGATTGGGGCTCCGCTAAACTTACTACACGGCGAAACACATCGCTGTAGTTGTTTCACGTCGGTTTTTCTGTGAGGCCGTAATGTCACTCCGGTTGAGCCGACCCATTCGGGCCGAAGCATAGCTCTCCCACACTTAAAGGATGTAGAAGAATACATTTCATGATTTCTCATCTCAAAGAAAGGCTCCCCTATAAACTGGAACCTTTTAAACTGCGATCTGTAACTTTTTTGAGAGGGAAAATCATCCAGATATCTTTTGTCCCGTCCTAGGTTGTAAAAGAGGGAGTGTCAGACTCTTACTGACCAAAAACCCCTCTTTCTCCTGCTCCGAATCGGGGCTGCGGTACATTTTATTGCGCTTACTTACCGAAAAGTCTCTGTTTCTGTTTAGACTGCGAAGGGCTGTTAATATCAATAACTGGCGACTTGCCCAGGCTTCGCAAGGGTGCAATCATTATCAGCCTATAAGTGCCCACTGCTGAGCAAAGGCCTCTTCTCACACCGAAAAGGTTTGAGCATTAATCACTACGCTTGCTCAATGCGGGTTGGCTATTTCAAACTCATAATTAGAAATTATAAGACCAGGTTTTCCTTTCATATTTTTTAGTTTATGGATACTTAGTCTCATATAAGAATAGTAATATTGTATGGTTGTGAGAAAATAGAGTATGAGCTACAATGAAGTTGACGTACCCATGTGGATAAAAACCTCTAATTAAAATAGAATAAAAAAAGATCCGGTTTGTCAGCGGTGTCTAAATAATCATAGAAAGTACATATAATTCGGCAAAGTCACATTGGTACTTGCCATGTTTCGTACCCACGCCCTTATGCATGAGAAGCGGGCTCCTTAAACTCTGGGCCACCACGACATACTAAATACTTTTCCGCACTATTTAATTAATATTATTTATTACACATATAAACCTTTCTCTTCAATCAGTTTATCTATTAGAAAAAACCGCATCAAAATCTGAAGCTTAGTTTTAGTAAAGATTTAAGCGTACATAAAGATATAGGGTCAGAGAATGGGACTTTGTTTTATACTATGTAGCGATATGGCTTGTAAAATGGTCATCTCCAAACATTGGATTCTGACATAAGTGGGCACTGAATTAGCTGCCATTGTGTCCCTCTTTTTAAGAAATTCTTATTTTCCATGGATACGGCAACTTCGTTTTGAACTACACATATTACGGTCTTTTTATAACCTTGCAAACACGATTGCGTCATTCATTCAGTTATATTCCAAGTGAAAATGTAATGAAACCTTATAACTACATTAAATTAACAAGCCAATTGTATTTTATGATTAAACGCTGAAGTTAATATACATTTGCTGTAGGTAATTATAATTGCTTACGAAAAGAGCACGAGTGTTGGTAAGTTTGTTAAGATATTTTTTTAATTTTGAACCAAAATTGTGGGAGACCTAAGTTCGGCTCGACCGGAGTGATACCCCGGCCTCACAGAAAACCATCGTGAAACAACCATAGCATTGTGTTATTGTGTTTCGTCGTGTGAGTGAGGTTACCGGTGGCTCAATCCTTATCCCTTTCCAATGCTTACATATCCGAAACCCTTATCCCTAAAAGTCCGGCAACGCACTCGTAACTCGTAACTCCTTTGATGTTGCGGGTGTCCATGGGCGGTTAAGGACATGAGCGAAGCCGGGGCGTGTCGCTAGTTAAATACTTAATTAGAAATACCAGTGTGAACTGAATTGGCTATTGGATATGCGGAAAGATTATTGAGGAAGACGTCTTTATTTCAATGGAAAAGTCCAGAAACTCCATGGTCACCTAATATTAGTCACTTACGGTGATTGATTCATCATTTTCGTAACGTTTATCATACTTCCGTCATTTTGGTATTTATAGTGCCATAAGTAAGTAGTTATGAAGCTGTAATGTTTGTGAAAATAAAGACTAAAAAATTCGGAGTAGGTTTGAGCCACCACGTTTGATCAAGACGGATTGGCGATTTCAAACGCCGATCGCAAAGCGGGTTTGGCCTCCTGTAACCTCTCACACAGCGAAACACAACGCTATGGTTGGTTAGCGCCAATTTTCTGTGCCGTGGTACATTCGAGCCGAAGCATGGCTCTGATGTTTAATACATATAATCGTAAACCGCTAATTTTTTTTTGAGAGGAATATCATCAAATGACTTCTCCCGCCCAGGGCCCTGGGGAGTGTCAGTTTCTTACTGACTAAAACCCCCTATTCCTTCTCCTGCTCTGGGCCGAGGTTGCGGTGCCTCATTGCGCTTACCCCGCAACCCCGGCAAAAGCTAACGTCACGCGTAACCCCCCCTAGTTGCCAGCTTTGGAATCCATAGCTGAATGCATGAGAAGCCAGCGTCTACCAAGGCATATCTACTTATACTAATATTATAAAGCTGGAGAACTGGTTTGTTTGTTTTAACGCCCTAATCTCCAGAACGACTGCTTCGAATTGAATAATTCTTTATCGAGGAAGGCTTTAGGCTAAAAAACATCACGCTACGATTGGTATGATCCGAGCAGGCAGCAAGTCAAACCGCGACAGAAGCCAGTGTATTACATGTAGGTAATTTATAGTAATGATTAGTCAAATAAAAGGAAGGAAAATTATTATATTCCCTTGCGGCGATATTCAATAGTATTTATTAATGTCCTTGATGTCCATCCGTTTGTTTGTATCTCAAGGGAGGTGATTA